CCCTCCAAAATGTGTACCCCCAGGACATATGCCTCCAAATTCGGAATTTTGTGAACTGCATCCCAAAAGGTACATATCTACCAGGTTTCAGATTTCTAGCCTGTCTAGAACATGGTTAGAATTAGCGTCGGTCAGTCAGTCTGTCACGATCGTCTATATTTTTAGATGAAGGGGAATTTAGCCTGATAACGTGCCCAGGGACTGCAATTAACGCCTATAATACGTTTTTCCTTGAAGGCTTGCTTTACAAATGATGCGAAACCAACTCTTCCAGTTTTCACTTAATGCATTTCGTATCAAGTGGTCGAAAATATAATAGATTATTGGGAACTTGAAAATAACTTGATCAGTTACTTTCCTTCCGTTCCATACATTTTGTTATTTATGCATGGAAGCATATACGGCCACGAGGAATAAAGTAAGAAAAGATGCTTACTTCCACGTGGGTCGAAGTCAGGGTGAGTTTTGAAAGAAGCAGCAAGGATGGTAATTCCATTCTTTCGATATGCAGACCCAACCGTGACGTAAACCTTTGCAGCGCGAAGAGTTCTGAAATAAATTCATACAAATGAGAAATTGCATGTATGTTATTTTCTCTTGTGGAAATGTTCGAGTGGGGATTTTGTCGCTGTGACATGGTAGGTGAAACCATATTATGGATTGTGTATCAAGTAAGTATCTTCTGGAAGATAAATTATGGTCCACGGTAACTTGGAATTATGACATTACAAGAATATCCTCATTCTCCAGCGAGGGATCACTTATATCTAGGGATAGAAATATTGACATCAATAAATCTCACCATTGCCTTGTAACACATCAATGGTGTGGTTTTCACATCCCGGAAAATATTGTCATAAATGTTTCAGCCGAAATTACAGGTTCGGATAAGACTTGATGCTTACGTATTATCCAAGACACAATGGGCGGCGGAGAGGATGAACTGATCGCTGATGATGGAGGCGCTGCAGCCTCCGAAGTTTCCATTAGGGTACCATACATCCAAGTAGGCCATGAAAGGGGCTTCCGTTATTGTGGCCGGAGATCCGTTGATGATGAGGGGATCTACATCCCTCTCCAGGCTTAGTGCTGTTTCGAGCATCCCGAAAACCTCTGTGAAGATCCGGTCGAACCATGTCCGTCTCATGGTGAGAGCACTTGAACCTCCGCAAGGTGCGCTAGCCACTGATTGGAAAATTCAGTATGTATAGGAAGAGGGTTTTGGAATTTGCCTTCCTCGTTTTTTTCAATAGAAGCAATAAACTCAGGAAGCAGCAGTAAAACAAACCTTTATTCTACCCTCTATGAGCCTTCGATTCAATTCGTTTGGCTTAAACGTGGATGCCTCCGGAAAGAGTTAGGATTCATATACTGTGCTGTATCTTCGTATATGTATGAAATCCTGAGCCAAGTTTATTGTTTTGATCTTGGTTTACTCGTATGAACTTTTCTAAAACGGCCCCACGGAGCATGGGCTGGTAAATTGGCGTGTATGAAGCCATGTTCTGTTTAATTGTTCGGCACAATTTTAGAAGGAAGTTAAACCCTGAGTCGACAACTTAAAAACGCCTAGTTATAATACTGCTGGTAGGAAAATAGTCAATATTGCATTATTTTAACGTTTTGGGGTCTCTCACGGGGGAAAGGGGGGGTCTACAATGTTCTAACAAATATACACCTACAGAATGCAATTTAAACCAGACATACCTCGACCACCATTCGTATATACCAGTAAGTGGAAAGCATATATCTTCCCTCCGAATTGCGAGCTTTTAATGGATAATTCAATATATGCCTACAAGATGACTCACGTGAGAGGGAAGAAGGAGCAGAAGGACAACTCGGTGGCGTTGGCGGAGGGGGAGGATTTGGAGGTGCAGTTGAAGGAGTTGCAGGAGAACCGGGTCTTGAAGTTGAAGATTTTTTCGAAGAGAATCCCGAGAGGCCTCCTCGAGGAAGAAGGAGGAAAGCGAAAGCGAAGCAATTGCGGGCCACGAGGATCTTCATCCTTGATGTGCAGCAGGTGCACGATCGCACTGCACTCAGCTAACTCCAACAGTCGCACGATAGAAATTGCGAGGCGGAATTTAGAGGGCCTTTCTGCATATGCCGTGTTTCGTCGCGCTTCGGCCACTTCCCCGATGCGAATGAGGAAAAGGAAAGACTCCGGATTGAGAAATCTGAGATATTTTTTTCCCGGATTCAAAGAAATCCAGGAGTTGTTTTTCGCGGATTCAACGAGAAGCTAAATCTTTCCTTGTGCGATCAACGAACCATGACTCACCTGTCAGTCAAGTTATTTCCTGAAGAAACTGAAAAGCGGGAAAGAGGAACCTGAAAAGGCACCCTAAAACCTTTTCTTTTAATCTTGTGAGCTGTGTGCAAGTCTATCCTGCGAAGGGGTACCGAGATGTGGTACGTTGGTCATCCGTGCATAAGTATTTCATTTCAATACAAATGATTCCACGATTAATTAATTAATTAATTAATATCGTAACCAATAAATATTTATCGCAATTGAAGCGAATACCATATTGGATGTACGGAAAGGAGAGAAGAAAATTGTCATAATTATTATGTACACTGCAGCACGAGTATTTTCTTTCTTTAAAAGTATTTTTTCAAACCTCGGTTGCTCCGCGATCGAGGTCCAAACGATAAAAAAATAAAGCGTGCGCAATTCTAGCCACTAGCTAGCGACAAACGTTAGTGACAAATGAAAATTGCAAATCAGTCTCACGAAAGGGAGGGTAGGGGAGGGGAAAATAAGATATTCCTTCTCGTCTCGCATCTCTCTGATGAAAGAGGAGACTCGAGTTCCCATCGTTCTCGCAAGGGAACGGTGGCATCGCCCATTGCAGTGCCTCCCGCCGGGAATCCAGGGATTTTAAACGTCCTTGATGAATTACGAGGCAATTCGTCGGGTTGTCGCGCCACGAATTCGCTTGAGTCCCGGATTAAAGAAGTACATCACTGCAGATTCCTCATGGGGGTCCATCTGTCTAATGCAGAATTTCAGAGTCGTTGAATGACTTGCTCCTTCTTAACTGCTTATATCACATTCAGTTCTTTGAAAGCGCTCACGAAAGACGGCTATTAAGCCGACAATCGGGAGAGTTCTTTTAAGGTTTCCTTCATTTCCCGTATAGCAGTCGCAGTCGCATTGTTGGATGTCAAAAAATTACAAGTATCCATGGGAGAGGGAGCTTCCAGTAAAAAAAAAAGGCTTAAGAATCATGACTGCTGTTTCCCGCATGTTCCCTGTCTGTCCTTCATTCACATGAGCTAATGCACGATGTTAGTCGTTGATGTTCCCGAGACTGGGACCATCCCACATTTGGGTGTTTTATCGGGTCTGTGAGCTGATGCTGAAAATGTACGTGGCTGATGGCAGGGAGGCTTACTCTGGCTAGGGCTGGAAGCTGCGCTCTTTGCGGTATGCTGCTTCTAACCTTTAACCTTATGTGGAATATGGGATTTATTTGTTTGTTTCATGGGCACCAAGCTCCATTGCCTTGCTGAGGTGCCTCGTGAGCTAGGTGAAGTGAGCTCTGATTCATGGCATCGGTGCGCTAAGTGTTGCATTGCCGTCTCGGCTCTCAGATTTTACTAACTTCTTTTTCTCGGCCTTAATTGACACAATGCCCCATTCGCATTATCCGGTGTCAAGGATAATAACTGGTCAAATGAGACTTGCAGACTCCATTCACATGACATTGGCCAAATAGCACATAAACGTTGAACGTCATTTCAAAGAGGTCTTTGGACGTCCCACGTATACGAATGTGCTCTTTGCCTGATCCATTCCAGTACAGAAAGGAGAAAGTCAAACTCGTTATTTTATTTAAGGGAATTTAAGGGAAAAAAGCACTGGTGTGCTGTTTAAGAGACGGGGTCTTGCATAAAATTAACAAAACCTTGCGAATCATCCCTGTGCTGCGTGCTGTATCTTACTTTATTTTCCTTCGCCTCCATTCGCAGCCACTTCCCTCGCTCCATTCACACGATCGGGTGCCGAGGAAAGACACGGGTGCAATGAAACCTACAGGCTTCATACATTTGATATCGCCGAAGTAGCACATGTTCCCTTTCGAGAACGTTCAAAGTGTTTTCAAAGAGGTCTTTGGACGTCCAATGTACTTAATGAGAACCTTTTGTGCCCTCAGATGAGGTGCCTCATGATCACGAAACATGCTGTATTTGAAGGACATATGTCGTGCGTTTAATATGCTTTCCTAACGTACATCAATGGTATCCATCAGACAATGGCTTGAAGCAAAATCGGCACCATTCGTCATTTTCCCCCTGCGGATGCGGAACGTCTGCTCGACGAGCAAATACGAGAGCCAATGAGGATGTCGCCGACAACAGGGAAAAATCTATCCTTGGCATTTCCTTCTTGGAAATGAAACATATTTTCCCTTCATTGGGAAGTAGATGCCCTACTCCAAGATTTTACCAGGCTGTAAACGCGGACATGTTTCCCACAAATTTTTCAACCGAGAAGCCCAATGACCTTAATGATAGTTAAACTCAGGTTTCACCCCCTTCTGATTAGCAGCCATTACAAGTAAACCTTTGGGAAAAAGGATTCCTCGACTTTGACGCTCGTACCACAAAGAACAGCCTGACTTTACTTGGAGACGTTCTACCTAATTTTAAAAACGAATAAATAAATAAAATTAATCATAAAGATGCAGTTCTCATGAGGTTTATCTTAGGTACTTTTCTGCTTATCCACAAGAGCAAAGCTCGGGCGGACATTTTCTCACGCGAAATCGTATTTGAGCCTGTTATCCCTTCAGGAAAAGGGGAAGCCGACGATCCATGTGTAAACGAAATTCCACTTCAGTGGATGGTATATGGAGGTTTGCGTTACCTATCGTCCCGCGCAAAAGAGAAAGAACTTCATGTCTTCTGAACTTCATTGAGCGTTGCAAAAAAAATATCTGTCTCTTATTCACCAGTAGGAATTGGAACTCGTGAGCACATTTGCATTTACTTCATGAAAGGAATATCATTACGTCAACCAATTGCATTCAGCTGAATCCAGAATGCGTATGAAGCAGTTCTGGTGAAGGAAGTCGCAATCGGGAGCCCACAGATGAGAGGAGCGGTGCTGGTGGCCACGCCGGTCAGGAAAGCTTGTCCGCCGTACCGCACCACCAGAGGTCCACCCATGTCTCCCTGCAGTTCATCCGTTACAGAAAAAGATACGTGATGAGTCATAGAAAACTGATAGAGCACTCATCAGGAGAAGCTAATGTGCATTCTCATCATGCAGCATCGGTATTATTCTGTTACGTCAAATCTCATGAAATACACATGACAAACCATTCATTCCCTGCTTTCCTTAGTGAAAATGAGGAATGAATGACTACACTCCTGTATCGGCGAGGAAAATGACTAAACATAGACGACTGTAGCTTACAGCTGGATATTAATGAGGATGAAAATATGGAAAATTTCCCCATACCCGGCATGGTCCGCTCGTTAAGGTATCTGTCAGGACGCAAACGACGCTTCCATCAGTCACGTTCGAGCAATCAGTGGAGGCCGACGTCGTGACGACATTCGCCTTCTGCAGAGTGTTGCTGAGGCCAATACCAAAGACGCTAAGGGACCCCCAGCCGTAGATCTTCTCATCGCATTCGCTCATGGCTCTGTCGAACACGATGTCACTCGACGGAACACAGATCGGCTGTATGGTGGCATCGAAAGCGAGAGAAAAGGGGAGTTGGACCATGGCTATGTCGTACCCATTTTTCGGATTCTCTGTAGAGGAGAATATTCCTTTCTCAGAAAATTTCGCACTCTCTAAGGACATCAGAGTAAAAGGACTTCGAAAGGAGTTCCGTTCGAATCGTACTAGTCCGTGAGTAAAAGGTATGAAAGAGGAAAGTGGTCTCACGTGGGTCAAAAAGGAAATTATATGTGAACGATTGGGTAACAATTCCAGTTGAAACAGTTCGATCTGTATTCCCAACCCGGACTGTCACTCTGCTTGCCAAAGTACTGCAAGGGAAAAAGCAACCAACAAATATGTTTGGAGCAGGGAAAGGATCGATTAAGAAATTCCAAACCGTTTGGAGTGTCATATTATTGTAAATGGGAATTAAGGTAAGTTTCTAGAATTCATTTCATTACATGTTTTGCAGTGGTACCTTATGAGTTCTGTCGATAAGTTTCCTTGTATCAATAATACATGTTGAATACCATAATCAGTGTTTTCATCATGTGTTGTATCTTGCTAGAAACAAACTACTTTCATATACACTCCAACATATGATACTAATCTGGAGATCAATTTGTTTCTGTTCGAATAGTATTCCAATTTTACCAAGTACCTCATTAATTTTTGCTGTGAAATAAATGAGCAATAAATGACGAAAAGTCGCTTCCCATTGTCATTTCAGGTTGCACGTATTTTCGAGGATAACCTTATTATATATTGGGTTTGTAGGAAAATTTTGTCGTTTTTGTTTATGTACAATTGGCCTCATCTCCCAAACACAAATACGGCTAGTTATTACATCCTTTTATACTCTAATCCACAAATGTAAAAACAAATACAATCGATAATTCATCACTAGCTGTATTCGTATTTGGGAGATAAGTACGTATAATTGTGCATAAGCAAATTCACAGAACTTTCCCACGAACATAATAATTTGAACGAACACATCTTTGATGAATTGGAGCTTTTGGGAATCTTTATCAGGCAATTAGCCCAATTCTCATGATCGGAAGGCAAAAGGGAAAACGCTTTCCGGAAATTCACGTTGAATAACTATACATTTATTTTGTCTTTTAGATTTTGCTTTAACTGGTTTTTACAGATTTACCCATTTTATTTTTTCACCTCCACCCCAGGCATCATAATATGCGAAAACTCCATAGACGAAAGTAATATAGTATTTCGTGCTGACCTTCCGTCGAACAGGCATTGTGCAGCAGTGAGGATAGAAAGGTCGCTGACGATGGAACCACCGCAATACTTGGTGCTGCTTGGGAATTGTATCTCCAAGAAGGCCATGAAAGGTGCTTCCATGATGGTGGCTGGAGACCCGCCCACGATGAGGGGATCCACTTCCCTCCCCGGAGATCCATACCAGGATGACGCTAACAAGCTTTGTCTTTCCAGTAGAAATCCCGACACTCCACACCTGACGCTTGTCGCTGGTTGGAGGGAAGAGAAGAGTTCTCATTACTGATGCTGGAATAGCTTCATTTGTCTTGCTAGACGCAGAAGAAGGTGCATATCTTCGGACAGGCTAGGATCGAAGGCATGCGCACGTTAGAGATGCGTCAATAAGTTGACTCCACTTAGTCCTGTGTTCATTTTATAATGGAATATTAATAGTTTTTAAAATTGAAATTTCATGTGTTCTCTGTTTTGAGACATCAGCATACGTTCTTAACATGAAATATATTGTAAACATTTGTGACGTTTCTGAGTTGGTCTACAGGCTGGACGATGTAATGTCACATAATTATGATATGCTAACCCAATAGAGGAGGCGGAGGATCGGGGCATCTCCATTGTTGGGCGTTATTTATCTCAGCCTGAATCCAAGGAGAATAGGTGGAAGCTCTGGCGTAGGAAGCAGGCCAAGTCCCACACAAGTGTGGATCCTGTATGAACGATGCGATCCCAGTCACGTAGGCCTTTCCGCCATATCGCACCACAAATGGCCCACCGCTGTCTCCCTGAAAATCAGGCATGCCGAAAGGAATGAAATCTGATGAAATAAAAGGAGGGAAACGGACCAAATAGTGATAATTCAAAAATAAATTGACGGGCAATCAGCAGGTAAATGCGGCACTGTCTAAACTCTTGTATTCGCGATCTTTCGGAAACACCCTTTCTCGAGATACTTATCAATGCATAATATGCGTCAAGAGTTGAAGACACTTTAAGTCATTCACGAGAAAATATGAAAAGGAAATTCTGGGTACATTGAATACTTTTTCGAGTGAAAATATGTTTTCTGTATATGAGGTACCTGATAGTCCACAATCGATAATTTTCCAGCATTGTAATTTCAGGTTTCCTAAACAACATAGATCATGCTCTTCATGGATTTCTAGGTAAATCTTATGAAGAAGTGATGTTTCACGAAGGACGTCCTTGTATTTTATTAATCAAATTAGTTTCTAAGAAAATTTGGAATTATATTTTGCATTAACACATCTTGTAGCACCGCTTAATTTCTTTAAAATTATTTTAGTCTCCATTTACATTACAAAAAATTATTATTGCCAACAAAAGTATCTCATAGCACTTCCTTCAAACGTTAATGTCCGGGGTCGCTCTTTACCCATAGGCGTTGAGTTCAGTTATGAAAAATAAATCATAACTCAAAAATCATGGACAAGGAACATGAGGAAAAACTCACGAAAATTGCATTTTTGGAAGAAATGAATTCTTAACAGCACGTGAATTCTTGAACAGAACATCGCTCATCAGCAATATTGAAACATACCTTGCAGGCTCCACTGGAGGGGGGAATTCCCGAGACGCAAACGAATCTTCCGTCGGCGAAATTGGAACAATCTGTGGACTGGGACGAGGCAACGACATCCAGCTTATGCAACATGTTGGTTTGTACGGTGCCATTGGGATCCATCGTCCCCCAGCCATAGATTTTCTGGTCGCAGGCGGAAATGGCCGTTCCCAGGACATTGTCCTGCACCGGGTAGCATATCGGCTGAATGCTGGAGTCGAAGGTCAGGCTCGTGCGCAGGTGGATTAGGAGAACGTCGAATCCGTTCTCATTGTTATCTGCGGGAAGAATGCCATGCCTAACTCATTCTCAATTGCCAATCTTACAATCGTATGCACTTCAAAGTCGGCAGGGAATAGGAGGTGAATTTGTGATCTTTACTCATTTTGGGGGAGAATAGCATTTTGAGTGCGGATTCATCTAAATGAAGCGAAAGCATGATTATTAAGCATTATTGATATGCTTCTACTTCGCCTTATTTCCATCCTGTGTACGTTGCAGCATCTTTTTACGGGAGGATTCTGCATGAGATGTAGGTCAACCGGGTTGTGCTGCATTCATTCGTTTGCATTCGCCATAACTTATTTCACTAATATCGCTCAAACCCTTCATCATTAATTATTTTTTTAATTTTAACTTATTATTTTAATTAATTTATTTTTCCTTATTGCCTTACGAACGCCATGATGAAACCCATTTTCACCTCAAACCCTCCAATTATCATGCCGTACCCTCAACGTGCGCTGATTGAATCACTTTTCTCTTGAGCTACTGCTTCCGAGAAAAATTACTCTAATTGTCTGTACCAATGAGGAAGAATCTGTCCTGAAAACGTGCAAAGGGACTGCATTGAATTCATGGAATAATTTATTTATTGAATGTTTGCTTAAAAAATAAAGCGAAACCGCATCTTCCAGTTTTCCTTTTTTCGTCTCAAATGGTGGAAAATATTGTAGAGCATAGGCCAGATACATTTTGAAGCTAAATTAATTACTTTTTATCTTAATTTCAATGAAGCCAATTTTATAAGCATGGAAGCAAATACAGTCATTGAGAATTATATCCGGAAAGAGACTTACGTTTGTCATAATCAGGGTGAGTTTTGAAGGAAGCAGCAAGGATGGGCGATCCTTTCGTACTATCTGCAGACCCAACCGTCACGTACACCTTTGCGGCGCGCTGAGTGCTGAAACAATTAAATACTTAACATTGGCACAAATGATAATTTTTCCTGCGGGAATGTTCTGCAGAAAATATTGTTCCCATGACAATGAAAGACTATAATATGGATCGTGTATCTTGTGAGTATTCGCAGGAAGATTAATTGTGTTGCTGTGTCACCTGCAAGGAAAACATTACAAGAATATACCTTTTCTTCGACGCCATCAAATGGAATTATGGACTAACAAATTAGCGGTATGAACATTTCTACATGACATCAAAACACATCCATGCTTATTTTACATCATCCTGGAAAATATTGAGAAAATGTATCATCCAGAAAAGAAAGTTCGGATATTCTTTCTCGATGCTTACTCATCACCCAAAACGCAGTGGGCGGCCGCGAGGATGAACTGCTCGCTGATGATGGAGGCGCTGCAGTGTCCGTAGAGTCCACTAGGGTACCACACATCGAGGTTGGCCATGAAAGGGGCTTCCGTTATCGTGGCCGGGGATCCATTAACGATGAGGGGATCCACATCCCTCTCCAGTCCCAGTGCTGTTCCGAACAACCCGACGATCTCCGTGAACACTCGGTCAACCCAGGTTCGGCTCGTGGCGAGAGTACTTGATCCTCCACAAGGTGCGCTTGCCACTAAAGGAAAATGCAGTTGGTATACGAATCGGGTGAAATGGGGCGATATAGCGTCTCCATCCATCTATTCTCCTTTGGCAGGGATATCCATTACAATAGTGAGGTTCAGGCTGACGCGTCTACTTTTCAGATTCTTTCTCTCGCTTAAAACCCGGTGTTTTTTGTGTCACCGGAATTAGACTCATGACAGCTGTGCACGAATCGATGACGACACGAATGAGGACTTTTTTTTCTGTGACTTCTGTCAATTTTCATGAATGAGGTATGCATGTATAACAAGTTGAAACAGCAACAATTGTTTTGCCATAAATGTTTCAATGTTGTCTCCGTTCCGTTGCCTTCATAAATAGGGATATAATAACAATATGGGAAAACACGTGAAAAAAATACGGTTTATTTATAGATATTTCGTTGTTGTTCCTGTTCTTTGACCATTGTAAGTAAGAATGATGACCTGGGGAAAAGAGAGAGCATCTGTTTGTAATTTGTGAATGGTTCGTTGTTGTCTCTGTTCTAAGAACTTTTTAAATAGGTACCTATCTGTAGACATTTCACCGAAGTATCTGTTCAGTCACGTATTCAAAAAGGTGCATAGTCCTCTCATGAATTGCTAATGGAAGGTAAACCTGCTACGAACCAGAAGAAACGAAGTGCTCCTTTGCCACGCAAAGAACCATTAAGATCTTTAGAGGCAACCACCCCAGAAACACCCGAACGCGCTCAACGTTTCACTGAACCCAGCGTTCCATTAACGTACTGGGATAGGTCTATCGACTGCTTCAACGTCCAAAACTTAAGGAGATGAAAAGAAGTTCAAATTCAGCGTCTCTTGAGCTACGTGAATTTATCAAGGACATTAATTTTATATTTCCAAAAACGGGGTTTAACAAAATTGTCAACCTTAGAATTCAAGCAATATGAACGTTTTGCATGGCTCTTTTCATCACTTAAAATCCATTCAGTCCAAGTAGAGCCTTGCTACCGTGATTCACGTTAGAAGCCATGAAGTATTCGATTAGTCTGGTTGAAGGGACTATCTTCAGTCGTCAGATAGAGTCTGGTAGAGAAACTTGGGGAATTTGGCCATACTGAAACTATCATCACATGTAGTTACCTTATATTCGGTAGTCAGGCAACCCACCCACTGAATTGCTTTCAAACAGAAGATATGAACATTTTCAGTCATGTGGACTGGGTTACCTCTAAAGACCCACTTGTTCTAGAATTTAAGTATTTCCTTTCTGATTTATGTGGAGAGAGATCGGCTGCATCGTGGAAGGTATAAGGGAAATGAATCAAGATAATCAGGAAATGACACGTTTTAGTGATTACCTTGGCGCCATCTGGCGCCGATGGTTCGAACCTTGGCTTCAAGCCATTGTCAGGTGGATACCATTGATATGCATTAGGAAAGAATCTTAAACGCTCGACATATGTCCTTCAAATGCAGTATGTTTCGTGGTCATGAGGCAAGCGAACTGTCTGAGCGAACGAAATATCTGAGCGAACAACAGGTGCTCCTTATTGTAAATTGGAAGTCCTAAGACTTCTTTGAAAACACGTTGAACGTTCTCGAAAGCGTACATGTGCTACTTCGGCGATATCAAATGAAAAAGGTTGTAGGTTTCATTACACCCGTGATTCCCTACCTTTCGTATGGCCGATTTGCAAATTTCTTATCTCAAAGGCACAGTCTCGGATGGTAAGAAGGAAGAGTTCTATCGATACCCCAATCTCATATATCCAAGCGTTTTGCCTGTAGACCTGTCACGCACACAATTCAAAAAAATAATAAATAATAAATGTTCGCTCTTGCCTAGCTAGCGGCCAGAATCGTGCACGCTCTATGTTTAATCTCCGAACCTCCGATTCTCCGGTTTTAAAAACTTTGTTAAAGATTGCCTTCAGGAATACCCCACTTTGCTCCATGGGTATGGCAATATTGGCTATTTCTAGAAAATACCATCGCTGATTTTACGCTGAAGTTGAACTTTACTCGTAGGGAAGACATGGAAAGTACCGCATGCCAATCGGCAACGTGCTATGCCAATTCCTTTTTAATAAATGTTGGCAATCTCCCTGAACCGCCATGTTTTGCCCACCTTCTGCTGTTCCAAAGCGGCCCCACACGTCATAGGATGCTCACAAGTGGCGAGGATGAGGCTATGCTCATACCTGATGTAATTTTTGACATAATTTAAGGATCAAGTTAAATTCCGAAGTTTACAATTTAAGACGCCTGGTTTTAATGCTGCTGGTAGAAAAGTAGTTTATAATGCAATATTCTATCGTTTTAGGGTAACTCTAGGTGACTGGGAGTTCCACGATGTTATAACACATGCAACTCCTGAATGCGATTTAAATTGAGCATGGCTCTATCACTATTCGCATATAGAAAGCGGAAATATTTTGAAAGGATATTTTAACATATGCCTACAATATGACTCACGCGAGAGGGAAGATGGAGCAGAGGGACAACTCGGGGGCGTTGGAGGAGGGGGCGGATTAGGAGGAGGAGGATTTGGTGGGGGAAGATTAGGAGGGGGAGTTGAAGGAATTGCAGGAGAACCGGGTCTTGAAGTTGAAGGTATTTTCGAAGAGAATCCCGAGAGGCCTCCTCGAGGAAGAAGGAGGAAAGCGAAAGCGAAGCAGTTGAAGGCGACGAGGATCTTCATCCTTGATGTGCGGCAGGTGCACGATCGCACTGCAGTGGTGTACTAGAGATTGCGAGGCGGAATTTAAAGGGCCTTTCTGCGCGTGCCGGGTTTTGCCACGCATAAGCCACATCCTCGATGCGAAGAAGGAAAAGAAAAAATCCGGGTTGAGAGATCCGGGGGATACTTTTTCCTGTATTCAAGGAAACCCATGCGATGTTTTCACTTGGATTCCACGAAATCCGGGTACTGTTTTTCACGGATTCAACGCGAAGCTCACTCTTTCCTCGTGCGATCAACCAACCACCACTCACTCCCCAGTCTTGTTATTTCCTCGAGCAACCGAAGAGCAGGGAAGACGATCCTGAAAAGACCTCCATCATTCCATTTTCGTTTCCTTCTCAGTCGTGAGTGCGTCGAAAAGCACCTCCAACCTGCAAAACAGAACAACGCGAGAGGAGGTACGTTGCTCATCCATAGAGAACTCTTTCATTTTAATGCAAATGATTCAACGATTAACTTTCCTTCATCGTAACGAGTAGATATCATTCGGAGTTGAAACGATTTCCGTGGAAGATGAATGGGAATGAGAGAAGAAAATTAGCATGATTATGCAAACTGGTTAAAATATTGCTTGCGCGATTCTGGCCGCTAGCTCGGCCGAGTGACAATTGTTTGTGTGTGTGTGTTTGTGTGTGTGTGTTTGTGTGTGTGTGTTTGTGTGTGTGTGTTTGTGTGTGTGTGTTTGTGTGTGTGTGTTTGTGTGTGTGTGTGTTTGTGACAGGCCTACTGGCTAAACACTTAGAGATATGATCTTGGGATTTAGATGGAACTCTTCCTTACCATTCGAGGATGTGCCTTTGAGAAGAGATGATTGTAAATCGGCCATAGGAAAGGGAGGGGAGGCAATTTACATTGGAAATCGGAGATTCGCTCTCGTCTCGTCGTCTTTCTGAGGAACTTGGAAACGAGAGTTGGCGTGGTTCTCCAAAGGGAACGTTGGCATCACTCACTCCAATTCCTCCTGGTTGCTGCCATGAATCGAGGGATTTCCAGGGTCCATGGTGAAATACGGGCCGATTCCTCAGCTCGTCGCCACGTGCGTTCCCATGGGCTTTCGCCTTGAAACGCATCACCCTAATTTCCTCGTTCGTTTCCGTGGCTCTAAGTGCGGATTTGCGGAATTGCACGAACGACGCCAAGGAGGTCGCCGAGAGTGAGAGTTTTTAAAAAGGTTGGAATGTTTTCCCGTATCGCAGTCGTATTGGTAGATAGCCAAAAAAAAATTCAGGTGTACAGTTTGAGTAGCAAAAAAAAAATCCCGTGGTTTCCCGAGCGCCGCTTTGCCGCGTCTTGAATGTTTCTTCCTTTTTCTTCTTTCCTCCATTCGCATCCACTTCCCTCGCTCCATTCACCCGATCGGGTGGCAGGAAAATCACGGGTCCGTTGAAAGCTATAAGGCTTTATGCACGTTAAATCGCCCAAGTGGCTCATAAACGCTTTCGAGACCGTTCAGTTCGAGAACGTTCGGTCTTTGGACGTCCAATGTACAATGAAGGCCGTTTTTGTGGACACTCAGATAAAGTGGCTCTTGATCACTGCATGCCGAATTTATAGGACAATTCGTCGAGTCTTGAAGATGCTTTCCTTGCACAATCTAACAACGCCTCGATGCGCACCGTCGACGCTAGATGGCGCCCAGGTAGTCCCCGAACCGTGCCATTTCCTCATGTATCTGGATTCATTTCCATATGTGCCTTCAAGAAAGTAGCCCATCTCTCTCCACATAAACCAGATGGGAAATACTGGAATTCTTGAAGAAATCGGTCTTTAGAGGTAACCCAGTCCAACAGGAGTCTCCAGAGAACTCGAGCTCGAGAGACAATGGGACGACGGTTCCATTTCCAAGGTGGCTTCATGGTAGCAAAGTTAATGTTCATCACCATCTCTCTCATGAATGGGTCTTTTGATGGAGAGGGTGTTTGAGACAATGAGACACACTCCCTCGGGCTGAAAGGTGCGCTCCTCGAGGTATGGTGCTTTCAATCTATGACCCTATGTGGAATATGGGATTTTGTTTGATTCATGGGCACCATGTTTCTTTGACGTGCTGCGGTGCCGCGTAGCCGCCTCGGCTGACGAATATCACTAAATTATTTTTCCCCCACCCGAGTTGACACGATGCTCCATTCACACAGTCATATGCCAAGGAAAATCACTGGTGAAATGAGACCTGCAGGCTTGCCCAAAGAACAACAAGGGAATGAAGAGTCTCCTTGCGACTCATTACCCAGGTGAGAGAGATAGAGGGGGTGGGGGGGGGGGGGAGTTGATGGAGATGATGTGGGTGATGATGTTGGGTTACAGATGGTGACTTGTGGGAAGGGGTAGTTTACCTTCAAGCGCAATTCTTCCCGAGGTGTTCAAAAATTTTATAAAAAGGATTGTATTAAGCCTCATTCACAGGAACTTTTCGACGAGTGAGAACGGATAACTGGTCCACCATCAGTCCTGTTCAAAAGCCAAAGCTTGATGTGAAAATCATGGTTGCTGTGATGTGAAAATCATGCCACAGGTTGTTACTGAAACTCTGAACTTCATGTGCTTCCTCAAAATATTACAATGAATGGGTCCCACTGAGAAGATCATTTCCTCCCTTTATATGCAGCATGCTCTGAGAATCGAATCCAGTTCCCTCAGCGTGAAGCAGTCATTCTCATGCAAGATGGTGCTACGGCTCATACAGCAAAAGCCACAGCATTTCAGCAATTAACATGTCTCAGAGCGTGTGGAAGGATTGACTTGGAAATTCGTCTGACCTCAACCCAATCGAAAATCTGCGGGCTATACTGCAAAATGGAGTGTTTAGGGAACCCACACCACCCACTAGATATGAATTAATCACCCGCGTAAGGAAGGAATGAACCAGGAGGAGACGGCCGCGTTAGCTGACTCTTTTTGTAGACGCCTTGAAGCCTGCCTGAAAAATGGTGGCAGGCACATAACATATTGAATCCTTTCTTGTTGGAAGTACATTGTGTGCCTAATGTAACCTGCCAATTTTGTCAATTTGCTATATTTCGAGTTTTATTTTTAAAAAAAAACCGCGGGGAGAAACTTTCCGGCCATCCTGTATAGAGGAATTCGAATGAAACATAGAAAGTCGAAAGGCATATCTGATTGCAGCTCGTTCGATTCTATCCAGGCGGCTGAGGACCGCCTCGGGCAGTTAGTCCAGGTTGTTAAGGCATGTGTTAGTACGGGGCTAAGGTAGGTGCAATGTAGTTTTAGGATTGAATGGAATTCTCACTTGCTGGCGCCGGAGAGGATTTTTAGGCAGATAAGTTTTATAAGAGCTTTGGCGCGGATTACATCTTCGATTATTCCATTTAAAATTGCTGGATATATGCATTCCAAGAAAACGGATAGAGGGAATCTGAGGGATGAGGTTCCTGTCCATGCGAATCTTACTACTGCAGGGTTTATTATCTCGAGCGAAGAAAAGGAGGGAGGATTTGTAGCGGCTCATAGCGATGCACCAAACGCGACAATAGAGAGAGAAGAGACTGCAGCCTGGGCCCTTCTCTCGCGGACGGCGACCTCTCTCCCGGAGAGCCAGAGGGCGGTGTCGTCTGCATACTGGCTCATGTGGAAGTCGTGTTTACGAGGCAGAGAGGAAGATAAATCATTAACGCAGAGGAGGAAGAGAAGCGGAGCGATCACAGATCCCTGAGGGACTCCCGCTGTTGGGGAAAATGATTCGGAAAATGAGCTGCCGACCCTGACCCTAAAGGTTCTCTCGGACAGACATGAGGATATCCTGCCCAAGAACTGCATGGAGGTTTTAATAGGAACGTGAAGTTCATAGATTAACCCTGCGTACCATACCTTATCAAATGCTTCGGTAACGTCAGAGGAGAGAGCTTAGTAATGTTTTTTTTTACTGTTGAGAGCGCGTCGTGGTGGAGCCGAACGAACTGATTGGTTGTGCTTCAATTGGGTCGAAAGCCTGATTGACAAGAGGTGAGAAGGTTTAGAGATTCCAGATAGTTAGATAGTCGAGCGATTATAATTCTTTCAAGGAGTTTTTGAAGAGAGCTGAGAAGACTAATGGGGGGGGGGATCTGGGGGGGTCTTTCTCGGGTTCGGGTATCATCGTCATGTTAGCGGACTTCCATACGGGGGGAAGGTGACCGAGATTGAGACAGTCGTTAAATGCTTGACGAAGGAGGTGGAGGGCTTTCTCTGAGGAGTGTTTCTAAGAAGCTACAAAGATGCTATCTGGGCTAGGAGCTTTATTGGGAAATATTTTTAATCGCGGTCTCGATCTCTTCCTTAGTGATTACATTAAGTCTGCTTCCCGACGGGAGATAGACTTTCAGGAAGAAGGGAAGGTTTGGAGAGGGAGAAGCTAGCTCATTTCATTTTGGAGATGGATTCTTTCTTCCGGGGGAGAATCGGCCCCAGAGAGCTTGGCGGCTCGGTCGTGACTTCTGGCAAGGACTGAGACTTTTGGTGTCGTCACTGCAGTGGGTCTTACCTGCATATTTAATGGGCTTACTTTCATTGTTTCGAGGATTCCCGATTCTTTTAAAGAGCTTCCAAAAGTTAGCTGGATCCTCTTCGGTGCTAATCTGTTCACAAAATTCATGTCAATGAACCAATTTTTCATTTTTAAGGAGAGCTTTAATTTCGTGGTTGAACCTGTTAATGAGAGGTTTTAATGCGGAGTCTTTAGAGAGAAAATAAGCGCGTTATAGTTTTCACCGTTTCTTAATTGTATAAAGGGCTTCTTGAGAGAGAGAGAGGGAGAGAGAGAGGGAGAGAGAGAGAGAGAGAGTAAGGTTCATGGGAGGTAGAAATTTGGGGCTTTGTTACTTCTTGCATCAGTCATACTCAGGAGGATGCAACGTGCCACCCTGTCATTGACAATAAAAGAATAGCACTTGCATCCTTCTCGTACGTTGGATTATTTATTATTTTGTGTATACAAATATATTTTCGTCATATTTGTGAAAGTGGAGGAATCCAATTTTAAATTCATATTTCCAGTCGACAGAAATTATCAAATAGAACTACTGCCATTTGTGACTCCTTTTTCTGAAGTGAGAAGCTTTCCGTGTTCGGAACCGGCATAATTGAATATGTATTATGTAGTTATGTGAAAACCAATTTTTCAAGGTTTTCCCTTTCTTCAACTCCAACCTCAACCTCACCACCCCTCTCTTACCAGAGGAACTCACTAGTGATAGGCGTAGACCTAAATGACGGACTGTCTTCGGGTCAGGCCTAGGCCTATCTTTTCTCGTTCAAAATAAACTTTATCCTCGAGCGACGGACAGATAAGGCATATGAGGATTATTCCCTGGCCTTCGAGACACATCGTCGAGGATGTTAGGCCAATCGCATGCCCATTCAGTCTCTTATGGCCAATTTAACAGAGAACGTGTAACGTTAGACCGAATATAGGCCTTTTTCGAGTTTCATGTACCACTTCCATGCGGTTAAGGAACATTAGGCCTATCCAAAGCTCCTGAAACCGTCTCGACTCGTTCCGAGAGGAAAATGCATTTAGGAAGCATGACATACAAGCTGGCCGCCATCAAGTAAATTTAGGGATGTCCGCATGAGATATCTCCGTATTCTATCAAATCGATCGGCCACTGGAAACCACCGTTGCAATCACAGCTCATCCCATGAATTCAGCACAATGATGCCTCCTGCATTAAAAATGAGAAGATCCAGACATCGATATTAAGACCGAAGATGTTGTGAATCTGACTCAACTCCGGCATGACATCCGGCAACACTTGGGGACGGGATCTCAGCTAGCGCTTTAAGCGTGTGTGAACGACAGCTGATTTCATTTCTCAAGGCGAAATGGTGCATCCCACACGACAAAACATCACTTTTTGCCATCTAAACGTCTATGTCTTCCGCATGGTTTGTCTCTTTCCTCCAAGAGCAGGAAGAGGGAAGTGGCTACTCGGGGGGGGGGGGGGAAGGGAAAACAGGAATGAAGTTCACATCTTCCAATAACGAGATTCAGTCATCTCCACAACCCTGAGGAAATTGTGTCTAATTTGTTGGAGCAATTCTGTGTTTTGAGGGGAAAAAGCATGCGTAATTTTGTTCACGTTGGTACTCTCAGAGAGGAATAAGCAGGGCTTCAATTTTGCTGCGGGAAAGGATTAAAGAAGGGTAATAGGCGATACCAAAGCCTATTGATTTCACTTCCTTTTTATGAATAGTTTTTGCGAAACTAATTCTTGCCTCCTCAATGTCATACTTCCTTATGTCTCATTTTCACAAGGATGCGGTAAGACTTTTCTTCGCATTGTTTTACATATGATTTGTTTTCTTCAAAAATAAGATAGAATGACCTGTTCAATAAACTTATCCCTTTCTTGAATCACAGGACTGAATTCAGAAGCCATATCGGAGGTAAAATGTACAGATATTTGTGAATAGGGAGCATAAGAGTCCTTCTAGCATTGGATCTCCTCAACTAATGACTTAAGGGAATCCCCTCTTGACCCCACCACTCATCGATGCTTCCGTTCCCTCGTCCCCCCCAAATTTTTTTTGGGGAAAAAGCCTCAGAAAAGGAGGTCAGAATTGACCCTTATTGTTGCTAACTTGTTGTTGAGTATGCAGTGGGCGGCCGTGAAGATGAACCGCTCGCTAATGATGGAGGCGCTGCAATCATAGGGGAAAATGTCTCCACTGAACCACGTTTCCAAGTGAGCCATGAAAGGCGCTTCCGTGATGGTGGCCGGGGATCCATTCACGATGAGGGGGTCCTCATTCCTTTCCAGGCCCAGAGCCGTTCCAAACATCTCAACGATCTCAGTCATGACTCGGTCGAGCCAGGTTCGGCTCGTCGTGAGAGCACCTGATTGTCCACAGGATGTGCTTGTCACTGGAGGGAAATGCAGTTGGTGTAAGAGGGAGACTGAAGAACTTTGCTCACTCCATTTTTTATGAGGAAAACACTCAAGAAACTTTAGTACTGGAAGTCCTATTCCTCCGCAATAAACGCTTTCAATTTAATTTACTTGTCCGATCAAGAGAAAAATGAATATAACCTTAGGAGGCATATTTTAGGGTCTTGCAGACGAAGAGCGTGCCCACCTGAACACTTCCCGGGCTATCCCGATCCCCCAGGCACGAGTTGCATACAAGTGGCAGGTATGAAACTATTCTCGTGCCTGACGTAGAGTTCCTCCACAATCGAAGGACAGAATCAACTCTGAGTTGAAACTTGAAACTGGCTGTATTTTGCAAATCAGGAATAAAAATTGATGAGGAGTACATTACTTCCCCCACTGTAAACTCACTAAAAGAAACTTTGAAGTGCATAGCATCAAAATGGAAAATCAATATTAACATGTTTTGATCGCGATTCGCACTTGCATGACATAAACTTTGCTTTAGGAATGGGAATTTTTAAAAAGTTAGCGCCGGGCAGCTAGATGACTCACATGGGAGAAAAGAGGGAGCAGAGGGACAAGTCGGTGGCGTCGGTGGATTAGGCGGAGGTGTTGTAGTAGATACAAGAGGACCAGGTCCGGGAGGGGGAGTCGACGCTTTCTTGGAGAATCCCGCGAGGCTTCCCCGGGGAAGGAGGAGGCAAAGGAGAGCGAAGTAGCTGGAGGCGACGACGAGCTTCATCCTTGATGCGCGGCAGGGACACGATCGCGCTGCGCTCGGCTCAATCCAACAGAATGAGCAGAAAAACCAGAGACGGTAGTGGAAGCTCCCTTTCCGCATATGCCCACGCCATGCAATATCTATCTTACGTGCGACTTCCAAGAAGAAAAATAAGGAAAGTCCAGGTTGCTATGAAATCGTGATAATGCATTTTTCACTCCCTCCACGCGCGTTTCGTGCATCACGACACAACTGTCCGCCAAAATCATCGTCACTCCTCAGGAAAATGGGGAAAGGCGACGAGTATCTAGAAGAAAATGCTTATTACTTATTATTATTATAAAAATACTTATTGCTTATTATACTTCCATGTTGAGTTATATTTGAATTCGAAAGCGCGCCTAACTTATGACGCAAGAACCCGACTTGAGATGCGCTCAGGATCAGTAGACAGATATATAATTCATATGCATATTTTAAGGAAATGAATGTTTACCGAAATAAAATATATTAATGGAAATGATTTCCAGAGGAACACATCAACGAAGCACATGCATAACGACCAGGAGACAAGTCTACAGACCCGTCTGTTTGACCGGATTTTTTTTTTCCAGGGAACACTCCCCAGGTTTCTAGCCCTATTTTCATCAACGATTGCTCAGTCGTATTCAGACTTATTTTTAAAATAGAGGTACAAACATTCATTTTGGCGTTCTTTTATTAGTTGACCTTTGACCAGATCTGGATGAACTTTCATTTGAACCGGAGGTTAAACATAAACCGTACGCAATTCTGGTCAGGTGACAAATGTATGTGCATGAGTGTGTGTGTGCGTGAGTGTGTGTGTGCGTGTGTGTGTGCGTGAGTGTGTGTGTGCGTGAGTGTGTGTGTGCGTGAGCGTGTGTGTACGTGAGTGTGTGTGTGCGTGAGTGTGTGTGACAGCTCTACAAGCCAAACGCTTTGAGATATCAACTTGGGGTTGTGACATCATTATCATCCAACAATGACCTTTTGAGAAATGAAATTTGCGAATCGGCCTCAAGGAAGGAAGTCAACTTCCACAGAAATTCGGAGATTCTCTCTCATCTCGCCATCTTTCGGATGAACAAGGAGACGAGAGTTTCCGTCGTACTCGTAGGGGAACGATTGTATCGCTTACTGCATTGCCTCCTGCCCACTGCCTGGAATCAAGTGATTTTAGCATCTATGATGAAAAGCCTGGCAGTTCGTCCTTCACACGGCTACGCAAAGAAGCCCCTCACCTCAGTTTTCTCCTTTCCAATTTCCTCTTTTCAAAGGTGGCATCTTTTCCCGTATTTTAGTCGCATTGGTAAAAACTAAATACATGATGTATGGGAAACGGAAGCTTGCAGTTAAAAAAAAAGAGATGATTTGCGATTCGCGACTGTGCTGTTTGCTGTCTCTTCCTCCCCTTCCTCCATTCGTTTGAGCATACGAAGCTCGCCGCTGCTGCATCTGAGACGGGGATTTCCCCGACGCTGAGGAAGGCTGGAGGTTGCTACGGGAAATACTCGCGCTGAGGTTGGATCGAGGCTTTCCAAATGTAACCCTATGGAGGAAATGCTTTTTTTTTCGCTCTATGGGCTCCTTGCTCCATTGGCGTGCTGAGGCGCCACGTGAAATCGATGCGTGAAATAAACTTTGATAAATGCCATCGGCGCGGCATTGCCGTTACGGATCACGGAATTTACTCAATTATTTTTCTTCGCCGTTTTTGACACGATGCTCCCTTCACATAAACTGATGTCAAGTATGGTCACAGGTGAAATGAGACCTGCAGTTTTATACATATGAGATTGCCCAAGTGACACAAACGCTCTCGAGGACGTCCAACGTGTTTTCAAAGAGTTCAAGAGTTTGCAAATCCGAAATTCCACATTTTAGAGATGAACTTCCCCGATGAAATTGCAGTGATGCATTTTCATTGCGGTGGTCGATTGAGCGCAAGTGGTGACGGACTGACGAAACGCCCCGTATATCATCGAGGACTCTTGAAATCCCTTTATTCCAGGCAGAAGGCGGGAAGCACTGCAGTGAGCGATGCCAGCGTTCCCTTACGAGTACCATGGCAACTCTCGTCTCCTCGTTCGTCCGAGAGATGGCAAGACTAGAGCAAATCTCCGATTTTCCGGGAAATTTGCCCTTTCTTGAGGCCAATTTGCGAATTTCATATGAAAAAGCATATCATTGGATGATATAGGAGAGTGCCCAAGCGTTTGGCCTGTAGAACTGCCTCACACAGAAACGCGCATTTCTCGCTCGGTCTAGCTAGCGGTCATGTTCCATCGCGTTAAATGTTTAACCTCCAGAGTTTAGCAACCGATGTCCTCGCGTTTGAATAACTTGTGGTTGGTAACCTGCGGCAAAATTCAGGAAGCGAAATGCTCTGTCGTCGTAGGAGTGACCATGATCTTCAGACACTTCCACCTTAATATCACCTGACGTGTTGCTTAAATATCCTTATAGCTATCAAAACCAGTTCAAATCATGTATTCCCTGAACTACGTGAATTTATCAAGGATGTGAATGGGATATTTCCGAGAAAAGGGTTCAATTAAACTCAACGCAAGGTTGTTCATGCAACTCAATGACGGAGGCTCATAAATAAAATGAAATTAAGATAAAGACCAAGATCACAACCATTTCCATTTTTGCAGACTAGAAACTCATTCATTGCATTAGGGAATGCGAGTGTCCAAAAGTAGTTCCCACGCCGTCAGGCCGAGGGACTCCACGGGCACAGAAAAATCCAAAACACGGAAGGCCACTCGAAACGACCGGTACTTACCGGTACTTACCGAACGCAATTCATCTATGGGAAACGTCCAGTCTCGGGGACGAGCCATTTCAGAAACTTACTAAATCAAAGACGAAACTTCTAGATATTTTCATATTTATTTACGTCTTCATAATTGTTTTTCTCTCCTTGTTGCATCACTGGATTATCTCGAAGAAGAACATGGAATTGAACTACTTACAGCAGGGTGACCGGAAGTTCCGGTTTACTGGTAACGTCTGACGCAAGGTTGACAGAATGACATCCCCGAGTCGCCCGTGATTGGTCGGTTGCCATGGCCCGAGTCAATCGTGATTGGTCGGTTGCCATGGCCCAAGTCGATCGTAATTCGTCGGTTGTAAAACTCCGAGTCGATAGTAATTGGTCGGATATCCTTGCCGGCCAAAATGATGATGCCGAACAGGGCGTCGATGCCTTTCATCAAAGCTCATTACATATCATAACACGTTTCACCTCTGCACGTCAACGGCGCATGATGCCCATGAAGCCAAAAAAAACTTCCCTATTCTACCTAAGGTCGTACAGTAGTTCGAGAGCGGCGTACCTTCCGGCCGTAACGAGGGTGTTTCCCACTTTAATCTGCAACATTACTTTTCATCATCGGAGCACAGACGCGACACCGCAACCACCCAGATATTGGAAGAATCTAAGTCTGAGAAACATCAATCATCCTACATCAACATGTATCAAACGGCAAAATCTCGATTCCAGAGTCACCTTTTTTTCATGCAGGCTCGCGGTCTCATTGATTATACTTTTAATTTGTTTCCAACCAATGCTAGTTCATAAGCGCTTTCGAAGGACTGAAGATGATGTAAGCAGTGAAAAAGAACACGTTATTCTGCAATTATGAAATTCTGCAAATTGATATATTGACTCCACCTGAGGAACCTGAGTTGATAAATTTTTTTGCCGTGCCAGTGTGAATGCAAGTGTCGACGAACTGATGAATCGGGGCGATTAGTCAGCACTTCATCATCGATGCTTAAAACCCCTGCGCTCCCAGCAGCAGGCGGGAGTCACTGCAGCGATGGATGTCATCGTTCCCTTACGAGTACGACGGCACCTCTTGTGTCTTCGTTCATTCGAGAGATGGAGAGACGAGAGCGAATCCGATTTTCAATGAAGGTTGCCTCCCCTCCCGTTCGTAAGGCCTATTTACAAATTTCATTTCTCAAAAGGCATATCCTCGGATGCAACATTTCAAATTGCGCGTTCTTCAACTCTTTGATAGTGTTATTTCCAGGAAGAGGGCTCGATAAAACTCTCTTGTTTTTATTCATCCCATATGCAGTTAACGTTTTCGATACGCTCTTTTCATCACTTAAAGTGCCTTTAGCCTAAGTAGAGATCTTCTTACGTGGCTAGGGTAGAAGCCATAATCTGGCTGATTAGTTGGATTGAAGGTAGGAAAGAGTGTGGCACCATGGGTCAGGCTGTTCAACCGTGAAACATGAAACGTGTCTGGAGCCTCACAGTCTTTTGACGGCAGAGGGCTGAACAGGTTTACGGCGAGGAGGTTCGAGCTTGATTGCATCATTGAAGAAGAAAGGTGGCGAGAATGAAAATTGAATCATCCTGGTGGAAAAAATGGACTCCCCGTGTTTCCTCCTGTGGAATTTAGTAAAGGGAAAACGCCTAGGGTATTCCTATAGGTATTCGTGAGACATCCTCCCGTCCAGCAAAATATGGATTGCCTTCATAGCGAGATGACCGATGGAAAATGTGTCCAAGTTTTCTTCGTCTCTGGATGGATCTGAGTCTTTCGCTGAGGCTGGAATTCTGCGAATTCCGCAAGGAAGCTTTCACTATGGAAGAATAATCTTATGGCCCAAGCACAGGATTCAAACGGAAAAGTAATCCCACATCACCAAAAAGGTTGGGCCGACAATGGCCCCTTCATGGCAACGTCGGCAGATCGTGGGCTTTGGCAGGCATGCTTGGCCCATTCCTGGCTCTGGCTTGGCCAGCCGGAAAGCATATCAGTTCTTGTGGAAATTTCAAGAGGCGCACAAGCATTATTAAATAATTCGGAAATATCCTGGAGTATCCTGCCTCACAATTTTTCGACAGTGACTTAATGAGGGCAGGTGCATGATTGCAGGACTCGGATCTTCCGGGTATTTCAAGAAGGTTAAGTCGATGTAACCTACAGTGTTTGCAATGAAAAAAAAAAACTCTTTAAGGATCGAGTTCTGCAATATTTTTGTCAAAACTAAAAGGTTCCAAAATAATCAAACAGAGAGGTGAACTTATACATCAACTTTAGAATGAGAAAAAATATTGTTAACATAATAGGCATGATGTTTTTGTTTTGCCTGCGTTAACTGAATGTCAAACAACCAACTGAATGTCAAACAACCAACCTGTCAAACAGCCAAGTATCAAACAGCCAAGTATCAAACAACCGCCCGAACCGTTCCAGACGTTGAAAGCTGATTCCTCCCGTAGCGGAAGTGCAGCGCGGTTATCTCCTTCATGTTTTCTCTTTCCCTTCTGCAGCAATATGCTGCACTATGCCCTGCGTTCCGGTTCTTCGTTTCTGCGTTTAAGATAAGTAATTAATATACATATTGAATTGAGAAGTAGCTTCGAAGCCTCATAGTCCCTTTCCCCGGTTCTTTCAGTAATCCGCTGCTTGACGATTTTCACTAATACTGTGGAATTTCCCCCTTTTCTCCTTTCGCAACATTAGTTTATGATTGGCTTGCACGAATGCCAGTCACGAAAGAGTGTCGAAAGACCCTGCTACGTTGTTAGCCTGATGGAGGAGGCCTTGACAACACCCTCGTGCCATGAAAACACCCTCGTGCCACACATGCTAATCCATGACATTCATCATTGATTGTTTTGACTTCTTTCAATGAGTGACGTAGAATTGGAAGACGACAGGCATACAAAAGACGGGCAGCCCATCCACGACATTGTATGCATGGTATTTCGAATTCGAAATATACAGGGTGATTCTTAAAAAAAAAAAAAAGCTCTACCGTTTTCTATGGGAGAAACACAGTTTCATCGAGGCCAAAAATTATAGTTTGGCTATGCGATCGACATTGGACGCCTTCAAGGTGTTTATGTGCATGTCAGCGTTTTTTCCAGCACTCCTGCCTAAGTCGTGGAATGCCCAGAGGTGAATTGTAGGCACGTAGAAGTGGATTATGCCACCTTAAGTGATCTGTGCTCAACCGTCTCAGAATTCAATTACTTTAAAACATCACCGATCATAATCCATTGCTCCCCAATTGCTTTTTTTTGCACCTCGACTGCAAAAAATCCCAACATACTAGCTAATAACCAAAGCTAATCCCAGTCTACATTCTGATCAGCCAGCTGATCTCCATATATGCCATTCATCCATGGGGGGAGAGAAAGAGAAGTGAAGTCGATGTTAGCAATTTAGTAATTGTTAGAAAATGAGCTCCAAAATGTTGATTGTATGCCTACCAGTAATCCATCCAAAGCTTATAGGCCTATCTCAAGCCAGGCCCTTAAATTATGCCTTAAATTATTAAATATTAAATATATAAAGTATAAATACTAAATATAGGGTTTGTGATGTCATCAACTCTCATCTATGCGTGTTTGGCCTATTTCAGCTCTTTAATACATCCAGATCTCGACCTAATTGGTGTGGAAGGTGTGATAAATGAAGATTAAATTTCTTGTCAGATGAGTATGGGTCACAAAAGGGGAAAATGCGAGAAAAATTGGGAAATAACTTTGATAAGAGAAAGCGCTAGTGAATCTCTGCCTCCTATAGGTCTTAAAAAAATAATGGTTAGCAGCAGAGACGTACATCATAGGTCTATATGATGTAAGCATACTCTGAAGTGAGGGGGTGTTTCTTTACGCAACAGACTTCATCTGCCTATTATTTTTTTAGACCAGACAGCTGACATCACAGAGAATATGAATCCGCTGTCGATGTCCAGTTCTGTCTTCTCACCTAAGAAGCCTAAAGGTCCCGTCGATTCCTCTTCGATAGGAAGCAAAACACTCTGTATCTGGTTTCACTCCTGTTGGAGCATCCAACAGCCATACACCAGGGCATTATCACCAAAAAAGCCCAGGGGATTGACCTTCCCATACAGCCGATGCCGGGTTCCTGGAAACAAAATGGCGCCCAGGCGCGGCAGCCAATCAGATTAGTTTAAAATAGGGACTGGACTTGCCCAGGCTCCCTTTCTCTAGGGACTCTAGTAGCGGGCGCTGTTATTGACCTGAGGGCCACCTCTTTTCGTGCTAAGCCACTTTTTGGGTAGAAAAAACTGTAGAATTTTTCTTTAGTGCCTTTGAACCTTTTAGAGCCTAATTGGCAAAAAATATCAGTGTTATCTGAGAGCCTTTTCAATAGATTTGGCCTTGAAGCCAATTGAAAAAATACAAGTTCATTCACAATTGGTCAAGTCCAAAACAGGGAAAACTGCTTTATTTGCATTTTTAGCTGATGGAGCATAGACCATTACAGCATTTGAGGCGCACCTCGTTATGATCCACCAATAAACTTTGTAACGGAACGATGCATAGCTCAAATAATTGCTGCGAGAAAAACCCAGACAGTCTTATTAACACCTTGAATGTGTCCAATATCGAGAGTTTATGAATCTTATCATTTTTACTCGAATATACGAATATTATACTTCCTCCTATAGAAGACGGCGGAGCGTTTATTTTGAATGATCCTACATACCCGATGCAGCAATGGTCATCGAGAACCTGCCTCATTCTGGGTTTCTATGCGAAAATGAAACACCTTGTACAAGGAAGAGTCTCAACCCTGGATGGAACAGATCCAAACAGAACATCGGCTTCATGATATCCCACGCTCGCACCCTTCCACACGCTCTGCGCCCAGTGCATGTTCAACAGGCACTACAGTGAAGTGACATCCTCCCTCGGTCTTCCTGAGGCAGAGGCATCCCCGTTCTCACTCATTTTCAGGATCGTGAATTCGCCTGTTCAATTTAAGTTCGCATGTGTCCAACGTTTTGACTGGAAGGGCCTCGTCGTTGTGCATTGCTTAATACTGGAAAACAGCTAAGTGCCTCATTATTCGTGCCTGAGCCCAAGGAGGAGGTACTCTCTCCAAATGTACCTTATTCTCTCAAGAAATATTGATAATATAGAAATATTCAGGAAAAAAATTTGTAGAGAAATATACGCACTGAACATTATACCTGTCAAGCCCGCAGGGAAATAAAATTGGATTGAAATGTTTGAACATCAAAGCAAAATCTTATCCTCTTGAGAACCTATGTGTTTTCATTACAGGTATTATATAAAACTACTGCTTTTCTTTCTGTTTGTCCTATCTTTACCGCCTCAAAGTCATTCCATGCGATGTGCATTCATCCAAATTTTTGACATCCGTGTACTCGTTAGTTTTTATGGCAGCATTCATAAGTACAGGGTATTGGGGCGTTTTGCGGCGTTCGTACATATTTCGCTTTTAAAGATCATGTGAAACAGGAAGGACGGTACATCTTTGACCTACATTGAGGAAGCTGGTAGAAGTGCGAAGTCGTCACTCTTGTTTGTGCATCAAGGCCACTGAGCACTGTTGATATTTTTATCAACAGTGCTCAGTGGCCTTGATACACAAAGCGTCTCAACAACATCTCCTTCTGCGATTTCGTCAGGTTTAACACCTTAACTGGGTTAGACTTCTTTTGACGTCTGAATTCTTATAGACTTTTGTAGAAAACTTCCCCGTTACGAGGTTAATCGTGTTTACTTGCATCCATACTACGTGTTAATGGGAGTGAACATGTAATTTATTTCAAAAGATGAATAAACGCAAATTCTCTTCTCTTAAGTGTCATTCTGAGAGGAGCAACGTCACCGTTTGCTAGCTTTACACTAATATAATAATTCAACTTTGCGCAGTATCAATGCTTGCGGTTTCCTATTCACATCCTATTCCATTTGTATTTGCTTATCGCAGAAGGTTCTCAGAATCATAGCTTGTAACCTGAACCGACGATCAATGCTACGTGTTGCTCCCTTTCAACAAGGACATTTCATTCTCGTGCGAGGCATTGTGACTCCAAAGTTCGGTACGAGGTGAAGCGGGGAAGGGATGGGAGGGGAATGGAATTCTAGGGGTTGCTGGAAATTCCGGTAATTCTAGTACATAGGATAATATATCATCGGACCCTGAGGGTTGTGAGGGTTGTGAGGGTTTGGGGAATTATTTACGAAACGTCCACCTTTCCCAAATTTGTTAACGAGGAAGATCTCCCTCTAATCTGAAACCCACCTGCTGGGCCTCAACCTACTGCTGTAGCTGGAGGAAAATCCACCTGATTTCCAATCGACTTCATACTATCATATCACAGTTGAGTGGATAGTGTTAGACATTTTAAGAATATGAATATTTATTTTAAAGGAAACATTTGGAGTTTTCCTATATGACTTGGCACTTGGCTTTCAAATGCATAAAAAGTATTCGCCATTTTGATATATAATATATATTCAGCAACTTTAAGCGCAGAGCATGCAAATGCCTTTACCTTCATAAAAGCAATCAGCGAACAATTTACTTAGACCACGCGCAGGAGAGCCTAGTTGCCTCACTGTATCACACAATCACATCACCCTAACACGTGCTTAGTGGTCATCAATTCGGTAGAAAGAAGGGGGAAGAAAAGTGAGCGAGATCAAATAGTATGGAGTTTCTCAATGGATGTCTGTCTATATTTTCATAGCAAGTCCCTTTCCCAAAAGTCTCAAATAGCCACAAGTGGCATAGGTCAATATGTGGCGACAATGGTATGCACCAATGAAAAAACTCCTAGGAAGAACATTCTCTTCGTATCTCTTCAGGCTCTTCTGAAACTCCAGAATTACATCACGGGATTCTGTTACTAAAATAAAATTGACCTGGTCGAAAATGCAGTATGTCTCAGGAGGGTAGCTGACCCAAACGCCAGGCTGACAGTATGTGCATTCTAACGGCAACGTTAGGATTTATTGTGCATTCCGTCAGTCACAAAAAAAGCAGCAATAGGAAACATTGTTTTCTTAGGCAATGGTTGGTTGCTTTAATGCATCAGATATTCCATTTCTTCTAACAGGAATGTGAGGCCCTTGGCATCACCTCAGTGGATACGCTCTTCAGCAGTTCCAAGGCTCTCCAAGAAAACAAGTAGTCCCATGATGCTCCCAATATTTGCCTCCATATTTTTTATCTCCATACTCTCGAAGGTGACCGACCAGGCATGTCCTATCGGAGATTTACCACCATGTGACTGCAAAACGGTTGAAAATGACATTCAAAGTGAGGTTATAGTTGACTGTTCAAAGGCCAACAATGGTGCAAATATATCATCTGCTTTCAAGATGGCCTCTTGGCCCTCCTCACAAAATCGGTGAATTGTAGTTCGCTACTCACTAAATTGTACCCAATTTAACTTCAATTTCCAGTATTTCTTACTGCAAATAGCTACGAAGGTAAGCTCACTTGAGATTTTGTTGACGCCGCTTATGCCTATGGCCATATCATGCAGTTGCATATTTTGGGTCTAACTCCAATCACGCGATGAAAAAAATGGTCATAACTCCTGAGATTCACTTAGTCGTCTTCATCCTCGCAGGATATTCAAGCTGAAGGACAACATGTCAGTTAAGGAACTTCCTGGAGGAATTTTCAGGACCGTTTCCTTCAAATATATTTGGATTGAAGAAACTGTCGTGGAGAAAATATTTCTGTCCGCCATTCTCAAATCACAGGATCAGCTGGAAGGGGTGAAAATTATTGATAGCCGTCTGGAAGAGTTCCCCTTTCAATTTCTTCCCAACTTCACTCATCTCAAGAGCCTCTCACTCTACAGCAATTACTTGACCTCGGTCCCAGCACTGCAAAGTCAGAGTCTAGAGTCCTTTTCTGTTTCCAATAACACAATTACAAGAGTGGAGGAAGATGGATGGGCGACTCCCAGCTTGAAGTTTCTTGCTCTATGTGAGTGTAGCTCCATAGGATAAGTGCATATAAAGTACAGGGTGTCCCACTCGCTTTGGTACCCGAAAAAGGGCAAATAACTTTTAAACTATTGAACGTATTAAAACGAAATTTGAACTTCACGTACCTTACTCTATGACAATCAAAATGATGTGCTTAGAGTGTACCGGAACAAGCCAAGAACACTTGCGGAACACGAGGCCAACATCCGGCAAGAAATAGACGCAGTGGATCCGGATATGATAGCACGCACCTTCCTAAACATGGAACGTCGTGTCCAAGCATGCTTGGATGCAAACGACGGACATTCCCAACATATGTTGTGACATCGTTTTGATTGTCATAGAGTAAGGGACGTGCAGTTCAAATTTCGTTGTAATACGTTCAATAGTTTAAAGGTTATTTGCGCTTTTTCGGGTACCAAAGCGAGTGGGACACCCTGTATGTATGCTTACACATCTGGAAGCCTCTCATTCCTGGCAAATCTGATTTTGAAATATGCTACTTTGTTGAAATGGAGGTTGATCATTTCATCATATGGCTCGTATCGTAGAGGTCATCCTACCTACGCTGCCCACTTGGGATGAATATTTATCGATGTAGGGTTTAACATGTATACATCTCCCCTATGGTGTTTTAAATGTATATAGCCCTCTGAAGTATTCCAAATTGAGACTGAAAAGGCATGTCCTACATGTATTAAAAGGAGCTCTTTGATTCCTGTGTGACAATGCAAAAGTGACAGCTTTATTTATATTGGAGAGATCCGGTGGCGGTGCAAATCCTAATTATGTGTTGCCCTCATTCGCTCTACGAGGGTAAATTATGGAAAAGAAAATCCTCTCCATCTCAGAATCCTAGTGAAACGAAGTTCCACCACTGAGTTTAAAATTTGGTATCCAGTGTATTGTCAAAAATGTTCACCAGTTGGGAGAAAAGGTCTCTTCACTGTTCCGTTGTTGAAATTTTTTGCACGAAATCACTTTTTGTGTTCCATAATCATAATAGGGCAATAACTCTATGAATGGCATCTTTGTATGTGAAACAGTGCAAATGAGGTTAATAGGTTATGAAATAAATGTGAAACCAGCACAAAAATTCGAGGGCAACTGATGCAGTTATTTTAACATGACGTAATACATATTTTTACCATATTAGAAGAGATGAAGTACACATCCATCCTACTTGGGAAGAATGAAGGCAAATATATACCATCTCTCTTCATCGCTTGTCTGATAAAACACCATTTCCTCTCATGAGATAATTATGAATCTGCGGTAAATGTCTAGCCCACTGACTATGAGACAAGAATCAGAAGAGTAAAAGCAACGTGACTTATTGGTTTCTCTAAGCCTGATTTGTTTCTCTCTTTCATAGTGAGCAATTTTTAAATTTAAATGTTAGTTTTTTATCATTCATTAAGAAAACAATGAATGAATAATTTATTAGGCAACGAAAATCTCAGAAAACAGAAATCAAACATTAAAACGAAAGATTACTGTATCCACAACCATTCAGTTTATAGTTAGGGAGACGATACATTTTACAGGGGCTATATTGCATTTTAAAATCAAAGTATTCAAATTGACATCATTGCAGAGAACGTTGGGTTGAGAGACGAATTTCCGGATTTCATTGTTCTTCATGTCCATCAATAGGTGTGTTATTTCTAACTCTATACCAGTACGTGGTGCTTGCACCAATGGTGCAATTAGCTCAGTGAGACGTGTGTGGCACTTTCATGAATATTGGAAAGTAAATGTAGATAGGAGAGAATATTGCATATCATGAAATCGTTAAGGATTCAATAGTTTGAAAGATTGCGATGCCTATCTAGCACAGAGTAACATGTAATAATACATTGGTTAGGGACAGACCTGAATAAAATTTTCAAGAGGAATGCACAAAAATCAGATGAACGTTTTACCCTATGTATTCATCTCTTAGAATCAGAAAGGTTCTTTCAATATAACCTTAGGCTCCCTGAGGAGATATGTTTCCGGAAAAAATGTTTTGGATCACGTTTAAATATTTTTTCCACCACTCTTCAACATTTCATGCCGATTTTTAGGAGTTTGAATATTCGACTTTAAAAAGTAGTTTTCTAACCATAGAAATCATTTGGAAAACGAAAGAGAATGAGAGACAAAACATAATAGTATCCTTTCCAAAAGAAGGATGATAATATGCTATCCCATATGACACTTAATTGCATCTGTTCTGCTTTGTGTACAGCTGGCAATCCCCTGTCCGCATTTCCGTCCAAAATCTTCAAGGGCCTGCAGAAACTACAGTCTTTCTTCTGCGCTGGTTGCAATCTGGGACCCACCCTCTCCAATGGATTTTTGGAATTCGGAAGCCAGGCGCTGAAGGTGGTGTCGCTGCTTGGTAACTACGTGTCCAGACTAGAATCAAATGCCATCACAGGTATGATCCTCTGGTGAAATCCACCGTCAACACGCAAAATATACTTGCTGTAGCGCCTGATGTCATTTGTGGGTTTTCAGAAAATTTCAATGAAAAAAAGGCTAATTCCCAATGTAGTTTTAGTAATGACAGGTGTGAGGAACCAGAGGTCGACATGCACTCGGAAGGAGTTAAAAATATTTAGTGCTGCTGGACCCGCTCGCTAAAATATATCTTAAAAGATTATGGAAACGTAAAAATAGTATGGGTTTCCTATAAGATTCTGCTAGGATTGCTAGTGGATTCTAGAAGAATCCTAAAATACTCCATTTAAAAAAAATCTCATCGAATACTTTCGGTTTCATTTTTCTCATTGTAGGTAGAATATCTATAGCTGGCGGCGTTCCTCGCATTCATTGCAGACGCTCATGAGACTAATGAATTTGATATGTCCGAGAATCAGTTTCCATGATTTTCCTTTAAGCACAATCCCTTCACTTCTTTCCTAAAGTATGAAAATCCTTGTGTTTCTATCCCATAGATACATTAAAATTTCGTTTTGCACAAACATTTATTTTTTGAGAAATTGTGGGAAAAACGATAACATCCTCTGTCCAAAGACTCATTCCTATAATTGAATTCGGGCCAATGACGATATTAATTGACATTGCCACAGATGGTCACACTTCCTCCAGTAAAGTGGAGAATAGCTTTCTTTACATACATTCAATATATTATGCCAGTCTCAAAATGAAAATAACCTGATATTTAAATTTTGCTGGTGAATTAATGCCTCAAAGGCGTCTCAGTGTTTCAGTTTTGGCCGTTGCAACACAATGAATACATGGTACGAGAATTAGTTGCAACTCTGTGTGATACATCTCATTTCACATCCGTTCCAGGTATTCAACCTGACACGAAAGTTTACCTCAGCGAAAACAGGATCGAGACGTTAAGGAAGGAGGCTTTTCACACCATGCTGGCGAATCTGTCGCTTGGGACCGGGCTCCTCTACATGTCAGGTATGGACGCTCGGGTATCTTGGGTGTCAGCTCGTCTTTCAAATTATCCTTTCTTTCTAGGGCATCCCATCAAGTGCGATTGCCAGATGACATGGTTGCATCTTGCTTCACATCTTTCGACAAAAGTGAATGGCTTCTGCGAAGATGGGACGGCTCTGAAATCTCTGTGCAAAAAGTCCTTTGAAAACTGCCGCACGTGTCCTTACAAATGCGTCAACGCCGAAGAAATTTCTCTATGCACTCCAGGGACGGAAATTCCCTCAAATTCAAATGACTGTGCACCTGAGGAAATATGTTGCCATTTGAAAAACGAAACTCCCACGACAGTACACACTGAAGTGACGAGTCCAATTCCTCAGTGTCTTGATCAGTGCGTAAATGCGTCTATCGTGACACCATCCTATAAGTGTCATGGGAGCTCATATTTTTCCTGTCCTTCGGAGACGCAATTATGCTGTCTAAACTCTCCAGGTAATGTATAGTAGAAACCATGAGCAAGGGATTTGTGTTGCTGCCCTCGGTCACACACATGTTTTTACCTGAAACAGTAATGTCAACCGCGTAATTCGGAGAAAACAGCGTATTTTGCTCTAGCAGCAACGTCAATTCTCCTCTCACAGATTCTCCCGTCTCGACGACGACCGTGAAAACATCCTTGAGCGAGGGAAATCATTCTTCAGTCGGTCAAGAGATACTTTGCTGGGACGCAGTCGTTAGAAATTCCAGAGGGCATATGATCTGCAGTGGGGCCCTCATCGATCGCAGTATCGTCTCCACAGCCTGCCTGCTGACATATCAGTACCCATTCACTTCTTCAATATGATATGAGCAGCATGCAGCAGAAAAATTACAAATTGGTGGTTTCGAAAGTAAGATAAACTAGTTCATAGCCCGTGAAAAAACACGGAAGATTTAAAGTCAGTGATTGGAAACATTGCCATAAGGGGGGGGGGGGGCGGTCGTCACAAATGGATTTTTAACTGGGCAGCTATGAGAGAAAAAGCGAAGCAAAATAACCCTAAATTTCTCGAAGGTCGAAGACCGCCTCCACCTAGCAGAACGCCATCCCAGCGTTCAAGCAGCCAGATCACATAAACGTTCAAGATGTATGGCTTTAATTAGTCTGTACTTTAAGGCGAGCTCGCCCGTCCAAACAATCCGTTCCGATATGCATCCTCTGGCATGTATGCCCTGGCCTCCTCAGTGCTCCAAAGAAGCATCTCTCGCCGATCTCCAATGACGTATCTCATGAAAAAATTCACATTTTACAATTTCAAAATACTCTCTATTCTATTTATCTCGAGAGAAAGATATTTATATTCACAAAGGAGGTGCATCCTGCCTTTTTTTTTCCGCTTCCTCAGCAGATTTTCTACAGCTCATTGGCACATCATCCTTCGTACATTTGAATCCCTAGTGAGTTCTAAATATAAATTTGACGATTTGAAAGAGTAAAAAAGTCGTAATGTCATGTTTAATTTTTAATAGAAGTATAATGAACATTTTCCTGCCAAACAAAATTTTATATATTTTGCTAAACAATCCTGCAATAGCCTCATAGCGAACATGTTAATCTGTTAATCAGGGTAATTTATGTGAACAATTAAATTATCATGATTGGAGCATTAATCGACATTTTGGATATTTCAAATCGTAGTATCTCATCAAGCCGTTATTCTTGGCTGGACATTGCTTAGAAAACTAATGTGGGTTTCATTTCTAAATGGAGCATGCGGGTAAACAAATTTTTCATTTTATCGAAGGGGGTCAAATATATGTGTGTTTTGGTCTCCCTTGGAACCCCAATAATTACATTATTTAATTATAATAGGGAATATTATACTTCAAGTAAGAGATTTCTTTCCCTTCTAAGAATCCAACTTATTTGAATAATTATTTCTAACTTCGTCTAGACTGGACGAATTTGAGTGATATTTCATAATTCGTCTTTGAAACATTGCAGATAATGTTCATTTTAAGTCCCCTTGAATATTACACTAATTTAAGAACATACATATGGATAATTATGCTTTTGCGATGCAATATCATTCCCTTTTCTCAGCAGATTCGGAAAGTAATTATATGAAATTTCGTGAAAAAACATGTTCGAGTGCGAGTGAGTCAAGCACGAGGACAATAATAATCTCTGTATTCAATCAATGAGGCGTTTCAACTTCCTGCTTCCCGCATAGGCGTAGCGAGACATTGCTGGTCCAAGTCGCTGGGAGCCACGTTCACCATTACATCGAAGGCCGATTCCACATCCCCCATTCCCCGGATACGACCCTCAACTTAGGATTGACGCCCCTGGTCCTTCGAGAGCCGGTGCGTGCAGACGAAGCCGGGTGCGTGATCGAGGCCAGGAATCTCCCTGGGTTCGACGGGTCCTCTCGATGCGAGATCGTATCTCATATCAAAGGTGGTGGCTTGTCCTTGCAGAACTTATTTATTCGTTGATTCTTCTGATTACTGGAATCGTCCATTCGAAGCAGATCCGGGAATTTTGACGTCGGAACCAATTCCCTACCGAGCCTGGATCAGGAACTCCGACGTTTGCGAAGGGAGTTTGTCGTTTAAAAATTTCCTGCCAGAAAATTTCATTTGCGTCTCCTTCAATTTGCGCTGGTGTGGGGAGTCTGGCTCCCCACTCGTCTGCAAGAGCTCAAACGTCTCCTGGGTATACCTTAAAATGTGACTTCCTTTTTCGAAATGGCAATCGATCATGGTGCGAATGCAATCGCGAATTTCCAGCTGGCAGGTCACCTGCTCACCCCGATCGGGTGTCACGGAGGCGACCGTCTCGGGATCTTCATCAACGTCTCTTCGTCCACCTCGGTCGACATCATCAGGAGTGCCTTGAAAGGTGTCCACGATTTCATTTTTCTCGGCGGAAACTCTCATGGAGGTATTGCATCCACGAATTGTTTCTGCTTTTCATGCGATTCCTTTATCGTTCCTCCAAAAAAATTGGAGTTGACGAAAAATTGAAACCAGTTGAAACGCCTGTCCCGTGTGACCTCAATTCTGTCTCTCTTGAAGATGGAGAACGCGAGACTGGGTGTGGCCCACTAAAGAGCTTTGAACGCGGCAAGTTCCACGTATCTTGCTCGAAACGGTAAGGAATGAAATAGCCGAAAATATAATGTACTAGTACGAAATTGTAAATCAGTTATGGTTAGATGCCTTCTAGGCCTCGTTCTTGTTTTGTCTTGCGTTCGTAGATATTACAGTGTCGGTATGCTGAGTATTGCCATCTGCGAAGGAAATGTTATTCTGCTGCAGGTTTCGATATGGACATGAGGGGGAAAACACCGGCTCCGATTGTCTTCAGAATGGAAAATATCTCATCGGAAGTATTGTGAAGTACACGTGTAATGCGCATTACATTATTATGGGCTCGGCGGCACGGAGATGCGCCGAGAATGGAAATTGGACGGGGAGGGATCCTTCATGCGTGGCGGGTCAGACTCCCTCACGACTAAAGCCAGCAAGACTCCTTTTCAAGCTGCAATAAAAAAAGAAGAAAACGGGATTTTCGCAGATTGCGGAACGAGGAATATGACGCACCCGATGCCGCTGTCTGTCGGGGGAACCGCGTCGTATCTCGGGGAGTGGCCGTGGCAAGCAGCCATTTACGACACGGAGGCGAAGGGTGTCATTTGCGGAGGCGCTCTCATCCGAGAGCGGTGGGTGCTCACTGCGGGGCATTGCATCACGTATCAAAACACGCTGAGAGAGCGGGGTCCGAGCGATTTCCTCGTCTACCTCGGGAAGCATCGCAGGAACGGATCCGAGGACGATGGCGACGTGCAGATCAGGCGTGTATGGCTCCTAGAAATTCTCGGGCGAGGTGACGCTGGTTGTCGCTTCTGCAACGTTCTGTTTTCCAGGTGTCCCGAATCATCCTTCGCCGAGGCTTCAACTTGCAGAACTACGACGCTGACATCGCTCTGATGCAGCTGACGGAAGAGGCCGAGCTGACTGCGCGAGTTCAGCTAATATGTCTCCCGACGTCTGAAGTAGATCTCGACGAGAAGAAAGGAATGGTAAGACGTCGTCTGAGGCGATTTTTTTAATGCTTCCACACGTAAAAAATTTGTTGGTTTTCAAAGAGAGGAAAATGAAATCCGCATTATTTTTTAACGACAGGTAGCCAGTTGGGGCTACAATGAATCAGATATGCTCGCGGATGAGCTGATGAAAGTGGAACTCCCTGTGATACCGAATGACAAATGCCGTCAAGAAACCTCAAGACATACCGGGGAGCCGCTCCCCGACCTCACATGGAACATGTTCTGCGCCGACTACGGTAAGGAAGACGCGTAAAATAAAGTCACGCCCCACATTTCGATTCCCGTCGCGTCCCTCGCATTGACCGCTCGGCGTTGCACGTCGCGTCGCAGAAAACCAGTCGGTCTGCAACGGGGATTCCGGCAGCCCGATGGTCTCGCTCGACCCGACGGAAACGCGCTGGGAGGCGGTGGGGATCGTGAGCAACTTCTTCGTCGGGGGGCAGAGTTGCTCCGCGAAGCTTCCCGGGCGCTACGGCGTTTTCACCAAGATCGCTCGGTGAGGACCCCGACCCCTCTCTCTCGCCCGTCGCTTTCACGCACGTTCTCGTATCTCGTCGTTCACTCTCGCTAGGTTCACGGCGTGGATCAGGACGGAGGTGTGCGGAGGGGACGATATCGGCGGATTGCACGTCCCTTGGTCGGTCTGTCCGATCTCGACGCCGATGTCAGAGGTCGCAAATCGAAGTCCATCTGGGACCTTCGAGTGCCAACCCCTGCCGACCGAAGCCTCTGAAGCTGATGAAGAGTGACTAAAAATAGAAACAATAATACGATGTTCTGTGGAAGAGTGCGACAACGCCTGGGATGGGAGCGGTCTGGGCCAAGGGGTCTCGCGCTCCAAACGTGCTTCGGCTCGCACTCATATGAATGCTTGACCATTTCGTAGGTTCCTGGCGTAGCGTCTTGGGGAAGGGAGGGAGGCTTTTCCATATCATATGTATTTAACCGTTTCGCAGTGTTTCAGGATTGCCGTTTCGTTCGATTCTCTATTCTAAGGAACCCCCTCCCCCGACAACCCTCCGACCTTCTTACTTAAATCCACGAAAATGGAGATAATGCATTCATGGAACGAAGTCCAAATGAACAGTTACATCATCGAGTTGGCATGATATTCGAAAAGGAAGATTTGTAGGAATAAATAATCAAACGGAAGCTTTCAATTAAAGGGCATAATGAGGAAGCTAGCATTTATTATGCACACTAGTCGCCCGTTAATCCGTCGCCTGTTAATCCATGCATAATCTCCTCTTGAAATCGAAGAGCTCTCGCTCGGAACAATTGTTTCACCTTGATTTGGTTAGCCCGAAGCCGAAGTCTGGCCATTCGAATCGTCTAGGCCTATACTTCGATCGGTTCAATGTCCTTGAACCTTCGATCGACCAGCCTTCGACTTCGCACGTCACAGCGTGTGAAGGCGGGAAAAGACGTGGATGGAACGGCACGAAAAAAAAAATCGTATTTTTCGTATCTGTATGCGTTTCTGTCCTAGACTAGCCCAGCTGTTGGGTGCCAAGAGCGGAAAACTTGTAATATGTATTTATTAGCATAATAAAATATTTTCTCAAAATATAATATTGAATTATGCTCGCTTAATAAAGTATGCATATAAGTGTATGAGCTCTTCATCGCAGATTTGCCATCATGGGTGCAAAAATATATGCGTGGTGATTAAGGCGATCCACGGCCGAGCCATCTGCCACATTCATGCGCAAATAGGATTTCTTTTAGAAAGGTGAGATGGCTCCTAAGTCGTTATGAGAGCAAGTTTTCTCAATTGATTCACAAATATTATATAGGTCCGATATAACCCCGCATCGGAGAATGAGAAACGTAATTAAATCCATTGCAGAATTTCAAGGGAAATACAATTCGAAAGAGACACGAGATGAGATATTCGTTTTCAGTAACTATTCGCCTCTTCCCCGATTCCGGCACGATCGAGACTCTTCCCCGGTTCAGAGGGTTTTCCAGTGATGGCGAGACTGGGCAGGAAAGGGCAAGGTTTCAAGGTTTCAAGGGCAAGGGTGAACCTCTTGGATTTCATCCCACGATTGAGAGAAATGCTTGGCGACACTTCCACGATTGAATGCGTTCAACTTCTTGGAAGGAAAAGATTCAGTCGTGTTGCGGAGTGCAAATTTCCGCGAAACGATCAATTGTGGATGCGGCAACTTTGGCCATTTCTCGGCCAGACTCTTCTCACGGTACGATTTCGGATATTGGATCAAGGAGCTCTTGTGGCTAATATTTGAAATGTTCTCATGATTTCGCTGGTAAATAAATGCATAATGGTCTGTTGTTTGCCTAATTTACCTTCTGTGCTCACATCGATGAAGCACACCAAACCAACTTGTCCTTTTGAGCCCATCTGTAAGGAAGGAAAAGCCTCCTCTACGGATGGGATGAGCAGGTGCGAGCATCCCCCCATTCTTGTTCAGGCAAGGGAGAGGAGGGAGAAGAAACCAGACAGTGAACCGTATGTCCTCCTTCCACGGAATGGAAAGAAGAAACGACTTCATACAGAATTGGCTCGCGTCGTTGACCATTTTTATCTCCCACTCTTAGCCTGAGACAGTCGAAGAAGCTGTGTAGAGATACTTGAGCAATTGTGTACTTGAGCAATTGTGTACTTGAGCAATTGTGTTCTTGAGCAATTGTGTTCTTGAGCAATTGTGTACTTGAGCAATTGTGTTCTTGAGCAATTGTGTACTTGAGCAATTGTGTTCTTGAGCAATTGTGTACTTGAGCAATTGTGTACTTGAGCAATTTTTTTACGCTTCCTCGATGAAATGAGTGCCATGATAGGGCCAGAGAACGAAGCTCTCTTCGTCTGGGACGGTCGTTTGGCTCACCGAAAGTTACTTCCCCGATACTCATCCCATGCCATCAAATTCCTTCCACCACACAGCCTCTATTTGAACCCCAATGAATTCACTTTCCCTCCATTCAAAGCCGAGGTCAAGAGACAACTGGGTTCTCTGTTAGCTTCCATTGAAGATCGAAACCGAGCTGCTGCTCAATGTCTGTTTCTGGCACAATATCGCAGAAACATTCTCGAGAAAATTGTGGTATACACCCTCTCAATTGAGAGGGTGTTTATCACAAGAGAGTATACCGTTTACTTATTCCGCAGAGATACGGATTCCTTCGATTCCATTAACAGGTCATTGGAGAGAAAAGTCATCTCTGAATGAAGTGGTTCTTTTTCATGCTGGGGAAGATAAAGTGACTCTTCGCTGTCTGGCTTGTCTCCTTCCTTCTTCTCCTGTCTAGATATGAATTCATTGAGGGATGAATGCTCATCCCTGTTTTTCTCATCCGTAAAGGAGGCTTTCACACATGGGTTCAGAATCAAGTTGGTTTGGTATATAGATGAAGATATGACGGTACGACAGGGTTGACTGATCCTTCATATATATTAACAGCACAATTTGCAAGTAGGAGGCAAATATGGGTGGGAAGGGCTCAAACAATCTTGTCCAACGACGATGATCATTTCTGAAGGACTGTCACTTGGCATTCAGGCTCTCAGCATGAACGACTCTCACGGATTTCTCGAGAGGAGTGAGCATTGCTCTCTCGTCTTCAGATTAGATAGCACTCCCGGCAGGCCTGGCATGGGATAAAGAGGGAGAAGATAGCTATCTTCGCCGCATCGGCGATTCCGCTTTCTAGTACGGGGTATGAGGAGCAGACAACGTAATCTGGCTACAATTTTCATCGCATTGAGTACTGCTCGACCGAGTCCAGGAATCCGCACCAGGTTAGTTTCTTCAAATTCCCCTCGCGCGTCTCCTCAGATCCACAACGAGCGAATGAGGGAACCTCCAATCTCCATCCTCTGGAGATCGCATGGCCCCAGCTGACGCCTCCGTGCCCTCGACCGACGCCTCCGTGCCCTCGACCGACGCCTCCAGCTGGGATCGCGAATCTTGAAGCCTCCCCGACCGTCTTCCCCTCGCGGCTCCCAGCGGATTTCTCCCTGCCTTTTTCCCAGGAATTGCTGGACGACTCTGAATCGAAGGTGAGAAGCCAATATCATCCAACCCTGCAGTCGCCATTTTTATTAATGGTCGTTGCCTACTTCGAAAAAAAGATTTCACGCGGCAAAATAAAAGGGAAAAAAGTATTTAGACGCAATAAAGCATTCTGTCCGGCACCCAAATGCCACCAAATTCGATCGATGGAGCAAAATCAATACGAGGCAGCACGATTCCAGTAGTACTAAGATCCGCCTGCATATCTCATGTGAGTATATCTTATCTCTGGTGATGAACTGCCAAGTGCAATAAAAATTCACGACAGAAGCCTCAGTATATTTTCTCGAGCACAACCCCGCGCATTTTTTTTTTTGGCCCCGTATTCTTAAAACAGCTTAAAACATTTCAAGGGGAACATTTGCTGCAGGAAGTTCCTGATCGCAGCTCATTTTATTCTTTAATTTTCAGACTGTTAAGGAACTTAATCTCAAACGTTCCCCTTAAAAATAAAAGTATTATTTGTTATATCTGCGGGGAAGAAAGAAATGGATAAAACTCTGGAAATGTCTCTTAATTTGGATTCAACAAACTTTCTTTTTTTTTAAATCTCGAATCCGCTGTGAGGGATGCCGACATCCAATAAATTCCTAATTTAAGCTTAAGTTACTCAACATTTGACAATCGATATTTTTGACTTCGAAGCGGTCTGTTCTGCCCGTCGTGCCCATCCCAAGCCAAGATCGAGCATTTCTCAGATGGACCAGCCCTCATGATTTTTTTTTTTATATATTTGCACATCCATCCGATGCCCATGTATTTGCATCTAATGCTCATGAAGGCATCTAACCTTCTCTTAAGGGCATCCATATCAGCCGCGTCATCAGCCGCGTCATCAGCCGCATCATCAGCCGATATTTTTTGTGTTGCCCTGGGTTCATGTAGTTTCATGGACTCTCGCATAGAATTTGCTCCAAAAACTGAAGAAAAAAATATTCCGGTTGAATATGCTTCCTTTCTCTCCACGCAACGAGAGAATAATCAGCACGGCAAAAAAGATAAATCGAGATTCTGCGAAGTGCATTTCCATCTCGGACCGATAAATTCGCATTTCTCTCTCGATCTCGAATATCCTCAAATGAAACCTCAAACGCGAAACTTCGAGAAGCTATAAAACCACGAGATTGATTGAAAAAAAATACATAGTAGTGGTTGTAATTTAGACAGGTCTAAATTATGTCTAAATTATCACGGTACGGGGACGCAAACCCATCAGACTGAAAACCTTTAATATGCATAGGGATTGAAGAGGATCCTTGGATCCAGTTCGCACCGCCGACGAACCTGATCTGGACGCATCGGCAGTTCGTTGCAAGATCAAGTTGATCTGATACACGCATCTACACAGGCATCTACGCAGGCATCTACACACGCATCTACACAGGCATCAACACAGGCATCTACACAGGCATCAACACAGGCATCTGTGTACAGTAAATGCGTCACGGAAGAGACAGAACCTATCTCGTCGTCTTGGGACTTTTAGAGCTACTTCGCCGCTTGTTATCAATGAGACAGGTCTCCTTTCATTTTCGCTTCCAGTTTTCAGCTGCTGAGAGAGAAATTTCCACAGTATCCACAATTTCATCTGAAGAGAAGAAGTAATCATTGGCGAAACGTAAAAAAAAGCGGCTATTTCACATAATATTCCCTTAGTCACAGTTACATGCCCGAAACATAGCCCCTCAGATCTGTCGAACGCGTGAATGGCTCGAAAAGGATCGCGGTCCTAGGCGAAAAGGATGGCAGTCTTAGGCGAGAAGGATCGCGGTCCATGGCGAAAAGGATCGCGGTCCATGGCGAAAAGGATCGCGGTCCATGGCGAAAAGGATCGCGGTCCATGGCGAAAGGCGAATCGCGCATGCACAGGCACGACAGAGATAGACGGCTCTTATCTCCGAGGGGGGAGGAATGCGTGTCGGAATCGCATGGGGGGGAAGGGAGGACTTCCCGCCGCGATTGCAAAATCCTGCACGGGTTCCCTTTTCTCTCCTTTTTCGATCGGGAGGCTGGATCTCTTTTGGTGCGGGATCGTTTGTGATGTTTCGATGGGATCTGGGGATCAGCTTCTCGCCAGGTAGGTGTCGCAAGGTTTTCTAGGGAGAAAGTCGGTATTGTTAATTGATTATTTGATGTTGCGCTTCAATGGCCGACATTCGTAATGGGGGATTTCGCGGGGTTATTGCGACTCACGGAGAAGTCGAATCGCGAGACGTGCGTTTGATCTGAAGCCTTAGCGGAATCTCAATCTCCACGCATTTTTTTTAAGGTCGAGAGTGGAGAATAAAAAATGCTGAACGTCGCGGGTTTGATCTCCATCATCGTCTTTTACATTCTCATCCTGCTGGTCGGGATATGGGCGGGGAGGAAGAAAAACAAGGAGGGAGATTCCGAGGAGGAAGTCATGTTGGCTGGGAGGAACATCGGGGTCGTTGTCGGCATATTCACCATGACAGGTACGGCTGCAACACGGGTACCTGTTATGGGTGTTCGTAATGGGTGCTCGTAATGAGTACTCGTAATGGGTGCTCGTAATGGGTGCTCGTAATGGGTGCTCGTAATGGGTGCTCGTAATGGGTGCTCGTAATGGGTGCTCGTAATGAGTACTCGTAATGGGTGCTCGTAATGGGTGCTCGTAATGAGTACTCGTAATGAGTACTCGTAATGGGTGCTTGTAATGGGTACCAGTGATGAGGAATTTTGAGGGGAAAATTTGATGACCTTCAGAAATGACGTGGGTTGTTCCCGTTCTAGCGACCTGGGTTGGAGGAGGTTACATCAACGGGACGGCAGAGGCCGTCTACACGCAAGGCATCCTCTGGTGCCAGGCTCCCTTCGGCTACGGCATCAGCCTCGCCCTCGGTGAGCCGCCTCCCTCGCTCCCGGAGTCGGGAGGGAGAGGGATGCAACCGGACGTTCACATCCGACTCGCGATGCAGGTGGGGCGCTGTTCGCGACCAAGATGAGGGAGGCGGGCTACGTCACGATGCTGGACCCGTTCCAGCGGACCTTCGGCGAGCGGATGGGCGGACTCCTCTTCATCCCCGCCCTGTGCGGAGAAACCTTCTGGTCCGCCGCCATCTTGGCCGCTCTCGGTCAGCCCAATTCAAATTATCGCTTTCCTTTCTCAGAGACTGATAGTTTTTCGAGATCCAGATCCGAAGTTCTCGACTGCTCGAGTGTTTCATGCCTTTAATTGACATTCAGCATATAAGCTACCGGAGAGACTTGAGGAGAAGAACGGAAAAGAGTAATCATCGGAGAATATTATTATTTTTTTAAGAGAAAAAGTTGTATTTTTAATATGTTTGCAGATACTCAGAAAATGTACGATCGGCACGGAACGTGAACTTGTCGAGGAGAAACCCGTCCCTCTCGTTCCGTTACAGAAATATTCTCATTTTCGATGGGGCTCGAGCCATTGTGCTGTTCCCGGTTTCGAAACGCTCGGCGAAATTTTTCCACCTTTCTCATTTGTTCCTTTTCCCTTTGTTTGCTTTTCCGCTTCCGGAGCGTCGGGTTCCCCTCATTCATTGCGAGGCCGGTCGGCGGGAGCAGCTCGTAAGCTGCCATTAACCTCTCGACGCCCTTCGCTTAGGCAGTCTCCTGCATTACAAAAAAATCGTATTTTTTCGATCCACATATGTTCAGGCTCGTCCAACTCTCCTTAAATTCTCCTTCAAATCCTGTTTCTATGTTCTCAATCGTAAAGGAACTCTCTATTTTTAAAGAGATAAAACATATTTTTGAAGGGGGGGGGGGGGGGGTAGGTGTAAGAATAACTCCTAGACCTCATTCATACATGGGCGACGAGAACTTTCTAAAAATGGACTCCGTCGCGAACTGTCACTTTGTGTCGACTTTGGAAAAACCCCTAGTCGCAACTCAAGCGGAATGGAATGAACGCATGCACAATTAGCGCATTCTTCTGTCAACCGAAAAATGACCTGCCCCCTCCCTCCCTCCCTCCCTCCTTCCCCCTCCCTCCCTCCTTCCCCCTCACCTTCCTCCCACCCTTAGGGACGGCGCTTAGCGTGATCATCGACTTGGACAACACGACGTCCGTGATCGTGAGCGCCGTCATCGCCGCGGCCTACACCCTCTTCGGCGGGCTCTACAGCGTCGCGTACACGGACGTCATCCAGCTCTTCTGCATCTTCATCGGCCTGGTCAGTCTCGGACTCCCAAATATTTTCCTCTTCTCGCGGCGATCGATGGCGGCGACCCTCGGAGAACACCGAGTTCTCCTTCTCAGAGCTTCTCGATGAATTTCACAGTTCTCTGTCGCAGCTGATTGTTGGCTGATGAAATTGTATGGCTCTCAATGATAAGCAGAAATTATCCACGTGCGACGAAATGCATGAATGATATTCTTTTAATTTTAGTATTGTTTTTAATTTAAGTATAGTTTTTGATTTAAGTATAGTTCTTAATTTTAGCATAGTTTTTAATTTTAGTATAGTTTTTAATTTTAGTATAGTTTTTAATTTTAGTTTTAGTTTTTAATTTTAGTTTTAGTTCTTAATTTTAGTTTTAGTTTTTAATTTTGAAGTTCAGTTTAGTTATTTAGTTTTTAATTTAATGAAGGACATTCTCAAGGCATCAGTTTCCAGGAAACTCTGCCGATCCCTAAGCTGATAGAGACAAACGAATCATCCCTTTCCCATCGTGACCCGCCGTAAAATCCATAGGCGGTTTCCGACTTCCGAGAGTCGTTCATTTTATGGCGTCCGAGTCAAACAATATTTTCTGACCGCAATAACAATCGTGAATTCACAAATGCCAGATATATTTTTTTTTTCCTTCGAAATTTCACCTTCGTGCGGTCTTGAACAAGCGCAGAGCAATCAGGAGAAAGCTCGCTTTCTGTCGAGCGACACTTCCTTGCCTCAGACGAAGCGATCCTTGCTCCATCGATCACCGTTACGCGTGGACCATCGAGGAGCCCGGTAACGTAACGTGCTCCGTAACGTAACGGTCTTTTTGAACGCGGGCTGGAGGCCAAAGTGGATGTTTTTTGGATATCGGTTGGATGTTTGCAGTGGCTGTGCATCCCGTTCGCGTGGATGCACGAGGCCGTGGGGGACCCGGCGAGCCAGGATTGGATCGGGACGGTGGACACCAAATTCATTGGGGTCTACATCGACAGTGGGCTCCTCCTCATCTTTGGGGGCATTCCGTGGCAGGTGGGTTAGGTAATTCGTGTTTTCGGTAATTTATTTATGTAAATTTATTTTTGGGATCCCCGCAGGTCTACTTCCAAAGGGTGCTCTCCAGCAGGACGGCATCCAACGCGAAAATGCTGTCGTACGTGGCAGCGGTCGGCTGCATCCTGATGGCCATTCCGCCCGTCCTCGTCGGCGGACTCGCCAAAGTCGCCGGTGAGGCCCCCGACCTCCTCCACCGCATCGAAGGCGGGACGACCGCCTGGACGTTTCTCTTTTTCGAACCGGCAGACTGGAACGCGACGGGGTACGAAGACGCCGGGGACGACGGGAGGCTGCTGCCCGAGAACACGAAGATGGTGCTGCCGCTGGTCCTGCAGCACCTGACGCCCGCGTGGGTCTCGTTCTTCGGGCTGGGTGCCGTGAGCGCGGCGGTCATGTCCAGCGCGGATTCTTCCATTCTCAGTGCCAGCTCCATGTTCGCTCGCAACGTCTATAAACTCGTCTTCAGGTCCAAAGTTTGTATACGACTTCTTTATTTTTCCCATCCCTGAAAAAATGCCAATATCGAAAATAATGAATAATTTCCTCAATAGGCATCGGAGAAAGAGATCATGTGGGTGATGCGGATAGCAATATTCGCGGTGGGCGGCCTTGCCACCGTCATGGCCCTCACGGTCTCCAGCATTTACAGCCTCTGGTGAGCCCCTCTTCAACCCGATGCCGTTCCGTTTTTTTTTCTTCTCGGTAAGTACCGATCTCGATGAACCAGGTACCTCTGCTCGGACCTCGTCTACGTCGTGCTCTTCCCCCAACTCCTGATGGTCGTCCACTTCCGACGACACTGCAACACCTACGGGAGCCTGTCGGCCTACGTCCTCGGCCTGTTCTTCCGACTCAGCGGGGGAGAGCCCGTGCTCCACCTCGAGCCCTGGATCCATTACATGTACGACGAAGAGACGGAGACCCAACTCTTCCCGTTTCGGACCATGAGCATGCTCATCTCTCTGGTCGCCCTCGTGGTCGTCTCGGCACTGTCCAAGTACCTTTTCGAGTCCGGGGTTTTTCCGCCTCATTGGGATATCTTCAGGTTCGGACTCCCTCTCTCCTTGTCTTCATTTTATTATGCAAATCTCTATTTCTCATGATGGTTTTCCTCCTCTGCCCTCTAAAAAGTGCATTGCATTTCCTTCGCTCGTGTGAGAGGAGGCATGCTGAGGCCCTCGAAAAAAAAAGAATGCGAAAAGAATGCGAAAAGAAAGAAGTGACCACGGACCCTAGATATTATTACTGCTCTGCATTATTATTGAAAGGAATTATTTCTCTATCATCCCTCCCATTCCTCTTTCGCCGAGTTTTCTGCTTCACCACGGATGTATATTTTATTTTACCTTCATTTTAAATCCAAAAACAGATGCATCGTGGACATACCCGAGGGTACCGCGCCCAAGGAGCAGGAACCGGCAGAGGGAGACGAGAAAACCGAGCGAGGTCACTGGACGGATGGAAAGCACGGGGAGACCAACAGCGCGTTCGAATTAGGGAGCCGAGACATTCATGGGAATTAAGGACGGATGGGGGGAATGCGTCTTGCTTCCGAAGATGAACTCATCAAGTAATTTAATTGAAGCCTCTTCTCAATTTCTTTATTTATTGCTTTCCATACCCCCCCCCAGGGTTCAGGAAATTTCGTTTTTTATCAGTACACCAACCGTATGAGTTGTCGTTCCAGGGTTTGCGATCTGACGCAGAAAGCTAAAGGAAATTAGTTGCTCGTGTCGGCGAGTGGGACTTATCTATGAGGAAAGAGATGGTATCGAATCATCGAAACGTGCTGGCGAATATGCATAATTTAAAAGGTCAGATTCGCCAAACGCGACCATAAGTATAGATATTCATTCGTAGAAGTCGTCGTGTCCGTGAATCGCAAGGTTCATGTCGCCGCAGGCTTCCAAGAGTGGAAAAAAATGGCCAATTCCATTTCCTTACTTTTGACTGTCCGGCTGCATGATCAGCTGAGCTCAATTAGAAGTACTGAGTTCAAGTAGAAGTACTGAGCTCAGTTAGAAGTACTGAGCTCAGTTAGAAGTACTGAGCTCAGTTAGAAGTACTGAGTTCAATATGAAGTACTGAGCTTAGTTCTTTTTAATCTGGTCTAGGTCTAAGGGTTCAGCACATTCTGTACATCAGGCATTGGCCTTTTTTCGGGAAAAATGCATTTCAAGGCCTTCTTATCACAGATCCGCAAGAAAACGGTGAGGAGAGAGCTTGTTATTTCTCGAAGGGGAAAAAAAAATTAGAGATTGACAGGAAAAGGAGAATTCCGGGAATTCCTCTCGTGCCCCGGGGTGTCGCTATATTTTGTCTGACTTGAGAGGGCTTTCTTTTATGAGTTTACATCTGAAATGTCTGCAACGTATTATTAAAGTACTAAAGTTCCCAGACGTGGCGAAGTCGTTTCCTCCGGGGATTATACTATTAAGCGCATGATTCCCGGGGTGATATTTTATTAAAGCTAGCAGAGAATCGTGTCAAGGAAAGAGATGTGTTTCTTTTCCCCTTTGCTTTTCACAGGAAGCTGATTTTCGGTGAAAATGAGTTTTCGCCGAAAGCTGAAAGTTTTCAAGGAAAAAAAAAATTATCCCCCACGAAATATGTCTAATATATCCGATGACTGGAGCGTCGTCTGATTTACCTGCATATTTCGTTTTACGGCTCTTCGACATTCGGATACGTTCCCCGAGGAAATCATGAGGAAAGCGGAAAAACTTGACACGTAAATCGTCGCTCCGATTCCAGAGTTCCCAAACTGAATTTTTTTTAAACTTTTTAGCCGAAGACACCTCTAGCGACGGCAGGCTGCTACTTTTCCAATGTAGAATCGCCAACCTCCAGCCTTCTTTTACGGCAGTTGCACACACAGATTCCATCACAATCTGTCTCACATATTTTTTCTTTGCAAAGCTTTCCGCGAACTTCGTCTAACTCGCCTGCACAACAAATGAAATGCACTTTGGTGACTGGCAATGTAGCAAAGAGACTGAAAATTATGGCAATGAAACCGTTTACTGAATTTAATTGAATGAGGTAAATGAGGAGGGTAGGGGCTAAATATTAATCTGATGAGGAGAGTCTACATTTTCTGACAATTATTGACTGATTTTTTCTTTAAGCAACCACGTGAGAGGAGTCTCAGGCTTCCTACATATTATCTCCTAAGCAGTTTATTTCACTTCAGGCGACAAATTTTAAAACGGTATGCTGGGAATTCAACAAGAGCTACTGAATAAGAAAATTCAATTTCTGCCAGATGAGAGATTTGGATGCAGCATTTTAGATACGTAAGTCAAAATGTAATGGCCTTTCTTTGGAAACAATGCACCACCTACTGCGTTTTCCTCAGCAGGAAAGTTATTTTTGCATCAGTACTCAATGCGTGACAGTATGTGACAATTGATATGAAATGTGCTCTTAGATTTGCTGCGAGGAAAAGTGTAATAACAACTCCGGAGTAATCTTATTCATAATATTTGAAGATTAGGTTATCGGATGTTATACGATTGTTACAAATTGGTTGGATATCCTGAATTCTTGTGCAGGCAGCAGACTGTCTGAGATTGTGTTGTGCCTGTGAGTGGCAAGGAATCTAGTGGCAGACTGTGAAATCCGGTCATATGAATAGAGTTAGGAACGGTGCAAGTGTTCCCAAATCTCGTTTGCAACATGGAGCTGATTCCGGAATTATTCAGCTTGTATCGGCACATCTCCTTGGATGTAAATTTGTGACAATATAAGTTTTTCCCTTTTGGAGAAAAAAAAAGAGGTTCACTCGACGTTGTTGCAACGTAAGTAGATACCACCAATGCCACTCCAGACCGCGTGGAACTGAAATATTAATTATTAATTGATGACGGAACGAATTGGATTTTTCAACAACGGAATTGGATTTTTCAACAATGGAATTGGATTTTTCAACGACGGAATCGGATTTTTTAACTCCGGCCAAGGTCGAAAAAAAAATCACATTTTATACAGACGCTTCGGGGAGATCGGTCATATCGTTCAGTTGAAGATTGATCACTGTGCCGTTCGTGAGACCTGGAGGTTCACCACAAACGATTCAAACATATTTCGTCATAGTGAATCAATCAGCCCAAGGGATCCACAGTCAAAATAACCTTGCAAAGAAAATCCACTGAAATTAAGCTAAGTTTTTTAAGCAATTCCCCCCTCCCTCCGAAAACGAATCGTCCAGGTGAGGTGCCTCAACTGAGCAGCTTGAAGTCAGTCACACCATCTAAATGCTCTTCTCCGGAGGAAATTACAATCATTCTTTAGTCAAACTAAGACCAAGTATAGAAATATAGGCACATAATATTCGTCCTAGTTTATCCTTGCAACTAGGCCTCGGTTTAAAGGCCCAGCGCATTTTGCCGGCTCATCGATGCTCCACCGGAATGCCTTCCAAGGTCGTCAGAGATACGCACTCGCCCTCAAAACGACCTGTGTGCGATAATGAGGAATCTCACGGATCGATTTGATTGAACTCGGCGAAGGTTCCCCCAGAAAAAAAGGAGTCGCGGAAACCTGATGAATTTGTGCTCGAAACGAGAGAATCCCAAGCGAAAGGTGATTTTTTTTTTTCGGCCTTGGCCGAAGTTGAAAAATGCAATTCCGTTGTTGAAAAATCCAATTCGTTCCGTCATCATCAATCAATAATTAATATTTCAGTTCCACGGAAACGGAAATGCTCGTACTCATATTGCCACAAATTTCCATCCAAGGAGGTGTCCCCGGTACAAGCTGAACAATTTCGGAATCAGTTCCATGCTGTGTACGTAGTTGTAAACGAGATTTGGGAACACTTGCACCGTTCTTAACTCCATTCATATGACCGGATTTCACCGTCTGCCACTAGATTCCTTGCCGCTCACAGGCACAACACAAAAGGTTAAGACAGATTTCCTATTTCAGTCTGCAATTCATCAGTCAGGTTACATTGGGGCAATCCTTATTATTGTTGCAGGTGTGCGAATGCTCGCAGTTGTCAATCGAAGAATGTATTGAGGTGGTGCCGTTGGCGGCTAATTACAGACATGTCGCTAAGGAGTTCAACTAAGGGCACCCAGAATGAAGACTTTCACCTATGTAACTTGACTCGTGAATCGCCCTGTAGTAAATGTCTTCGGAAACGCCAAAATCTCCAAGCAATTCCTTATTGACTTCAGCGAACTGTGTCGTTCGGAAAATGTATCGCCCGATTCCACATTTTAATATCCGAAAGAAAATAGCCGTGGACGCACCTGTGAAGGCCCCATCCTCCAGTCCCGTGAGGTCGCTGATTCGCAGATCCACCTTGATCAGGGCCTCGCTGTGGAACTGCAGGAGGCCCGCGCGGAGCGTCGGCCCCAGCAGGGCGCAGGAGGAGCAGGAGAATTCCTCCAGCCCCGCGAAGTCCCCGAAGAGCCCCGCGGGGATGTCCTGGATGGGATTCGCGCCTGCATGGGAACGCGGCACGTCGGTCAACTCCACTCTCTCTAATGCTACAGGGTACTCATGAGTACTTCGGCGTGCATGTGAACTGCACCGTTCCGCCTTGGAACCCTTCCTCCTCACCGATTCGATTCAAGATGTAAAAAATCAGGGCCAACTTTCTTCTCCAAGCATAAAACGCGACCGTGACCTTAAGTAGCTCGGATACCCGAATTATTCAAAACCTTTTACTTTTCCAATAATGAAATTTACCGCAGGAAGGTGTCATTGCGGCAGAGAATTCATTTACGAGAGGTGTCAGAAAACTTCCAGTTGCAAAACACAATTGTTACTTTTCCCATGAGAAAACTGATGTCTTTGATAGCGACTGGCAAATTTTCATTTCATTCGTCGATTAAATATAGCGCCGATTATTTTTTTCCCACATGCTACCAAAGAGTCTGCTGAAAGGGTATTCATATAAAGACATATGCCGTGATGAATTTTCTCATCTCAAAGGAGTCGATTTTCTGTATTATCTGTCAGGCCACTACGACTATATCCTCTCTGCTACTGAGGGAACGGCTGAAAGATCGACTCCTTGGAGGTTAGAAAATTCATCATCGCATTTTTATCAATTTTGATACCCTTCCAGCGGACCGAAAGGTCATCAAGCCAAAAGGCCAAAAGAAAATTCATCGAAGCTATTTTTAATCGACGAACGAGATGAAAAGTTGCCAGTCCTCATTAGTCTTTACATAAGAAAAGTAAGAATGGTGAATTGCAACTGAAAATGCCTAGGACTTAAAAATTTCTGACGTCCCTTGCATGGTGTGCATATTACTATGCCGAAGGCTTCTTGGACCTTGGGGATTCTTTTAAATTCGGGGACACAGTCGCGGATAGACTTCGAAGAGAGCCTGAATTTTTTTTTTCCTTACCGACGTGAAGCTCTTTCAAGTTGGGGGTGGACCATCCCTCTTCCAAGGCTGTGATCTGATTGAACTCGACGTTGAATATCTGAAGGCTGGAGCTTTGGAGCGCCGGCACCGCCGAGATGGCATTCCCGGAGATGTCGAGGACCTTGAGGCTCCTCAGAGGGCTGAGGATGACGAATGGGAAGTCGGTGAGGCTGCTGTCCATGATTCGCAGCTCCTCCAGTCGGGCGGCCAGGTGAGGGAGGATGGAGAGGGGGTAGAGGTTGGCCACCGACGTCCCGGAGACGTACAGTCGCTGGAAGGACACTTCACCGAACACTCCTTCGGGGAGATCGAGCACGCCGTCGTTGTTGGTCAGTCGGAATTCCCTATGGGAAGAAGG